GCGGCGCAAATACTACTCGGCGCAAATACTACTCAACCGCTAGGAGACCGGTGGCGCCGCCGAAAAAGCTGCCCGAGGTGTTGCCGGGAGTGAAACTAACACTTGAATACTATAAACAAAATTGAACAAAAGACGACATCGACAGTGTACCGGACAGAACTAGACACGAAAACACAGCTTCAAAATTTACAATGTGATGGGAGGTATACTTGGTGTTGGTTAGTCAATGCCACAACCGAGCAAGGCTCGGTCCCCCAGTACTATTGTATGAAGAGGCCTTCACACTGATTCTTGTTTTCGAGTCGAACAGATAGACAGGCAGACAGTGGTCGCCTTTGTTTTCAACTAGATATAGAAAATAGTGTGGCAGAGCACAGCTGGAGCTGACGTGTCCGCCACCCATCCTCCAACACCCCCCCCCCCCCAACCAATCGACGACTCCGCAACCCTCATCACGTAATTACACTTTTCTACTACTACTCATCACGTAATTTCCATTTTTTTTTGTATATGTTCGAGTGTTTAGTGTTGAGCGTCCGAGACTACGAGTGTGTTTGTTTTAATAAAACCGGGATGTTTTATTCACTCCACGGTCGTTCAGTCCACCAGCTAATTTTTACAAATTAACGCAAGTTGTATAATTTTTAGCTCCTGGTAACAGCGCTATGATGTTTTCTGTCTACGACTATTTCGTTTCGTTAAAAAAAACCGGTTCCCTGACTGCATTAACTTAACATGCTTGGATACGATAAATAGCCGAAAACGCACGATAATTTTTTGCCGGCATGGACTACGCCGGTTGTACAATGATGATACGAACAACAAAACGTTGACCTTGGCAACTTTCGTCCTAAAAATATGGGTTACTGTCCAGCGTATTGTTTCAATATTGACAGTCAAAATAGGTATTCTTCAATTATTATTTGCAAATGCTGTCTATGTAGGTTATGTTATGCAAATATTTTTATAAATTTTCATTTGAATATATTAGACTATTTTTAGTATTTAATTTTTTTCTTTCTTTTAGAATTTGGAATCGGTATCTAGAAACGTAATATTTCAGAACCTGTATAGAGAATTCTGTTATCGGCCAATTCCTATTTTAATGTTAATGTAATTCGGCTAGGACGTAATTCAAGCCATGACCCTGAGTTTTGGCTTTGTTCTATGTAATAAGTGCTATAGTCAATCGAATAAGTGCTAACATGGAATAACCATTGAAAGGCCTCTAAAATTGTTGGTTTTTTTACTGTAGTTTGGTTGTTTGCCATCTCCATTAGATATACTTTCTTCCCTCAAAGTATTCTGCACTGCGATGCATAGCTAAATAGGTGTTTCCTCTGTAAGATACTGAGAATTAAGTATTTTTTGTCATTAGCCAGGTTCCAAGGTACATTAGAATTATATTTCACCATTTATATTTCACCTTTTTCTAATTTACTTTTTGATCTTCGTTGGAAAACCTGAGCTGGCAAAATTATTAGAACACAACTGTGTTGACTTTTTTTATAGTACCGTATTGAAATTACTTATTGTGTACTTTGTGTTCTTTCGATGATTTGAAAAGAAAACATGTATTTATGTTTAACCGTTGTTAATGTTGTTTTGTTTTTACACCAGTATTCGTGTTCATCGATGCATTTAATTAAACATCATATTGAAGCTATATTGTAGCTTATATCATCGACTACATCATAGACAAGTTACGTCATTAGCTTACTAGCGTGTTTAATTTTGTTTAATTCCATCCACAGGTTATAAGTTCCCTTTTCAAATTAATGTTATTTCAACAAAACATCTGTTGAAAGATATAAGATCTAAAATGCATTCATTTCGTATATGCATATTAATCGGATGAAAAAAATAGGTAGTCGTGTCGTGGTGTTACTGTTGGTTATTGAAGTTGGAACCAGTGAATTGAATTTTGTTGAAACAGGGTATTTTTTTCTTTTCATACGCAACTATCTAAAAAACATAATAGGCCTAATGTAAAAAATCTAACAAATGTTGACATTCATTTCAGGGGGGATATGGAGCAAATAATACAAATTGTTTTGACAAACAACCACATTGTTTGTTGAAATAGTGTTTAATGTATACACAACTAGTAAGTATATAAAATTAAAAAATATTTACAGGAAATCCACATATAAAACAAACTTAACTGAATACAATAAGATAAATCAATTTCCAACTAAATCCGAACTTTGTCATGTGAAAATAACTAATTGTACAATATAAAAGTAAAATAATACTTGTACACTTATGAAATATATACAGTATATATAAATATATTTGTTGTCAACATGATAAAAAGCAGCACGGTTTCCAAAAAAACATATTTCTGTTTCAAAAGTGTAAAAATGTTTTAAGATGGTGGTTTATGCAATTACTATTTCAGTTTTACATTTTGCGACGATGTATTTTCAGTAAAACGCAAAAACAAAGCATAATTATAATTTAACGCTATCACTGAAACACTCTGCGGTAGTTGGTGACAGTCGTGCGACATATTAGGCATCTTATAGCCCGCCTGTCACCATCTACAACTGTTACAGTTGTGCGATGTATCGCAACACATCGCCCACACAAGGCGAAGTGGTCGCATGGCTCGACCATGTAGGTCCTGATGTTCACTGCACATGCGACGCACGGCCTCTCGTTTTCTGCCGCCTCAACGTCGTTCAAATCTAGCTGGATACCGCCCAACATTTGTAATTGGCGGTCGATGGCATGATCCTGCAAAAATCGAAACTCAAGTAGTGCATCCATCATAGAACTTAATTTAAAGAGGGAAATTGTGTCTACTGCGAGAGGTGATTGTAATAGTCTAATTAACCTGGTAGTCAAACATTTTAATTTATTTCAATCGTAGATATTTCGTATGTTGTAAATTAATAAAACAAGTAAAAAATAAGTAAATGATTTATTGCTTGGTACTCTACTAAATTGTTATTGAAGTAAAAGAAAATATTTTATTGAAAGAATATTTATTTTATTATTATTTATTATTTATTATTTTATTATTTTATTTGAAGAAAATATTATTTTTATAGGTAAGGGGCATAATTTATCTCTCGGTACCGGTACCACACTAGACTTTTCGTTGATTAGTTGAAGCCGAAAACTGGTAAGTCCTATTGGAGCATAAATCTTTTACTGGAAAGATTATTATAATGAAATAATTAATTTAAATAATTATGTAACTAATTAGACCTGTCCATATTTTGTTTCAACTATAAAAAATAGTGTTTACAATTTGTACAATCTACCATTAAATACGGGTGAAACATTGAGTTGACGCCTGTGCACTCAAACGACACCAACTGGAAACACATTTATTGAAAATAATTGTTGTGCATTTGATAACAACATATCACTATTATTTAAACAAATTAAATGCTAAATTGATTCGTTTACGATAGCATACTTTTAATAAGCGGATTTAAAACAATTGTTTTTCTTTACACAATATTCGTCAATTAATAATCTGAGCCCTATCTATAATTACAGTGCCTTGTAATTCAGAACGCAACCCATATACATCACAGTTACGCAAACAGTATTTGAATAGTAAAGGGAGTTAATGTACAAATGTTGGTCAGTCGAACGCACGGGAATCGAGTAGTCAATTTTTTAAACAGTTTAATTCAGAACAGCTATTTACACATATAAAGACCAAAAAACTATGTCGTATAAGTCAATTCTCATATCTTCAACGATTAAGCGATAGTTTGCAGAACAATAAGTATTTTCAAACATGACTTAAAATTGTTACAACAAAACCTTTTACTTAGGTACACAAATTGAATCTCCAACAAAACTTGATTAGACGCAAATGTTTGATATACAGTTGAACATTTTACATTTTTTAATAAAACACATTCTTTGTAAGGAAAAAATTAAATTTCACTTGAATTAGGTTACAGCAGACATTCGCTAGTTGTGGGGAAAACTAAATATAATTTAACGTTACAATTTCAATTTAATTAAATTTGAAACTACCTGTTTGTTACAACAACCGGAAACAACTTCAAATATTTAGCGTTGGTTACTAGTACACTATTACAACTTAATAGTTCAGCTCAAATAAACCACGACAAATTCATTATCTTTTCATTTTTCAAATGATTTATTCTGGATTCTCTTACGGAGTAAACGAAAATTGTCATAAGCTATAAAAATAAGTTATTATTTGTTTAAGACGTTTGCCAGATAATTTAGTATTGTTATTGTCAAGGTTAATACTTAAACCATCTTTTAAGAATAAAAATATTTGGATGTTCCGATCTGACTAGTAGCGTTTTGGAAATTCCGACCCGGCATATGATCACAAGTTCCAAAGTGAAAAGGACAGTCTATTTCATAAGTTTACTTTAAGAAATAAATTTGTACTTCTAGTTATGACTGTACTTTTGGATCTTACGATTTTGGAACTTCCGATCGGCAATATTTTCTTTGGATCTTTTGATTTTGGATCTTCCGACCCGCTAAATAACCTTTGGAAATTCCGATTTTGGAAGATCCGATCGGCAATATAAACGTTGGATCTTACGATTTTGGAACTTCCGATCGGCAATATATTCTTTGGATCTTCCGATTTTGGAACTTTTGAAATACTCCCTAATTGGCAACGCCGCAAGTGGTGTTGTTTAGTGATAGACATGGCATAAGATAACATGGCAGACAGGTGACATCAGCTCATTAATTCGCGCTTTATTGATTTAAATTTAAACTTATGAACATACATTTATTAAAATATTGAAAATAAAACATACAGAATTGACAACCGAAACAATTAAGAATTAAAAATCTCTGTACATTTTAAGCGGAGTCAATATTGTCAATTGTCATAGTCCAAACCAAGCAGTAGTAACCAATAGTTGTCAACTAAACTAACTGTCAAAGCTCCATGTGTACACTTGATTCGCCATGCTTCAATAACAACTGGTTCAAATCAGACAGTGGAGTGAGACAGTAAAAAAAAAACAAACGTCAAAGTGGTGTTTGTTTGGTTAGGTTGACGATTAATTATTTACAATTACAACAACTATTGAATGGGAATATCAACTGTAAAAGAAGATATTAATCAGATTTTTATTATTAGTGTTAGTTTACATACAATACATCCAATATGAATGTAGTGCAAGCTGTTAAAATGTATATAACAAAGATGACTGAAGAAAGTGGCCCAGGGATGAAATTACTACTAATGGATAAACATACGGTACAGATTTTAAAGTTTGTTTGGAGTTTACTTGCTCAGAGTTGTTCCAACTCTCTAAGCCTGTTTGTAATTTATAAAATAGGCCTAGTGGCAGTAGTCCCACAGATCCTACAAGTGGGCTAGATAGGACTACATGTTTAAAAAATTTTCAATTTTTCTTCAATGTTTACAAAATTGGGTTTATTTTGGCTACCACGCCAGTGGCAACTAAAACTTGTATGAAATAATCACTTTCAAGAGAAAAGCATTCCAAATCAGATCTCTAAAATAGCCTAATATTTTTTTATGAAAATGCCAGAGGACAACCGGTTATTCTCGCGCGAGACACTAATCTTTCAAGGGTTAACGTTATATTTGGCTCAGTTTAGCTTATGATGATAACGAAAAATAACACAGAGGCTACGCGTCTGGTTACCAGACATGGATTAGGTGTCCGGCAGTGACGTCACCGGGTTGTGTGGGCCCGGAACGCCATAACCACAACGATACGATTTACAGTTATCGGTGTTATTAATTCATTCAGGTATGTTTTTTTCGTGATGGCATTATTAATGTTATTCTTAGGTTGTCGGATACTCATCACCAAAATAAATCAATCACAATTTACTAAAAAATGTGGAAGTAGTTATGTTTCAAGTTTACATCAAAACTCATCTTCAGCCTCTGGTAACAACATATGAATTATCAACTATCAATCATTAAGATGGGGACGCCACTTAGGTGCGTATTTTAACCCAAATATGAGTGAAGGATGAGTGTAGGATTGAGTGAGATGATCTGTGTAGCTTTGTTACTGACTAAGATCAGCTGTTTCATTAGCCAGGATCATTTATTTAAAGCCCAATGATCAGGAACAGCTGGGTCCAGTTTCGAACCATCAAAAAGCTACTGACTTTTCTCAGGATCGAACCGGCGACCTTTTGATTAGTAGGCGAGCACTATAATCACTCAGCTACCCAGCCAGTTCAAGTAAATAAACTATGATTTATAATGTTTGTTTATAAATTAATTAACATATGTTTGAATTATTTTAAAATTAAGTTAGGCCTAGTAAGAAAAAAAAATATATGTATGTAGATGTCACAGTTAATTTATTATTGTTTTTCCAATTTTAATTTTGTTCTCAACCTCTTCTCGAATTAAACGTATAAACATGGGGCTGATTGTAACTTCCTACTAACTTAATTTTAAAATAATTCAAACATATCTTAATTAATTTATAAACAAACTTTATAAATCATAGTTTTGATATGTTGTTACCAGAGGCTGAAGATGAGTTTTGATGTAAACTTGAAATATACCTCCACATTTTTTAGTAAATTGTGATTAATTTATTTTAGTGATGAGTATCTGACAACCTAAGAATAACAGTTATCAGTGTTTGTGGTGTAGTGGATAGAGTGCTAGGCTGATAAGCAAGAGGTCCCTGGTTCGAATCCCATCGGTATCTTTAACTTTTTGTCAAAGATTTGCTTAGAATGCCATTTTTTCTTAACTGTAGCCTACATCTTTTGTTAGAATTTTTGGCATTTATAATTTTATTTTATGAACAGAATTTAGCCTTCATTTGATTTTTTAATTATCAGCAAGTTTGGTTGGTTAGGTTACTATCCTGATAATTAGACCAATTACTATATACCAAGGAAAAGTGTGGATCAAATTCCACTATAGACTGTAGGCCCCTTAGTTGCCATTAGCTGTATGGGCTGTTAATTAACAGCTGTGTCTAAGGAATGTCGGCCTTAGTCACTAACAAGACTACAAGATCGCGCCACTCATCCTACACTCATCTCTCCATTCATACTTGGCTTAGCCATTTCATTGAACAGTATCTAACAGTAAGCTTATGACAGTAACTTTCAGACGCCTAATCCACGTTCGGTACCAGACGCATATCCACTGCGAAAAAATAAACAAGGTAAAACTTTTAAAACACGAAAGTTGATAGGGATTGTCTTTTGAAGAGATCAATTTACAAAGAAGTTTATTTGTATTTGTATCCTCTTTTTCATGAGTTTTGAAAGGTAGGCCTACTTAAGTTATTTAGTATAGGTGCCTTCAAACAAATTTTCAATTTAGATGTCTAACTGTGCAGTTTTTTACCTCCTGAATCCAAATTTACCATTATTTCACCGCTGATGAATATTTTCCAAGATATCGCCATAAAAATATACAACATTACAATAAACAATGTAGGACTGATGACATTTACAAGTGGAATGAACTGTGGGTGAAGTAGGACAACAGCTGATTGTTTTCAATCACAGTCAAGCAAATGGAAGTGACAACTTTATTACAGTAGCTAACTCTGATTCGGCAATTTAAAAATCCCCTGAATACACTCTTCACTTTCTAAGACCAATAAGTTAACACATTTATTGCAATTTGTTATTGTTACCAGTATTAAATTCGTATTAATGATTTATATTTCGCCGTTTAGAAATCTATATACAGTATATAAAAGGCAAAGCCCTCACTGACTGACTGACTGACTCACTCATCACTAATTCTCCCACTTCCCACTTACCTAGGAGGCTGAAATTTGGTACACTGATTCTTTAGGTATTAAATTGGAAAACTAAGTGGTTTTTATTCTGATCGGACTCTCGGGCTCCGCCCCAGTGGCTCTGGAGTTTCCCATATAACCTAATGAGTACTCATATTTAAATGGAATTAATGAATCATAACAGCTGTTTCAATTAAACGAGTTAGTTCTGTTCTGTGACGTTCAATAGCATTAAAGTTACAAGGATTACCAACAGAGTGCAGCAGTATTATTTTTGTAATTTATGACAACAGCTAATTTGCAACCAAATGGTGAGTGAGCGTAGCGAACGAACTTCAACCCGGAGGCGAGTTAGCGTAGCGAACGAGCTAACCTGAAGGCAAGTGAGCGCAGCGAACGAGCTCCAACCGTAAAGGTGAGCGAGCGTAGCGAACAAACTTCAAGCAGGACGTGTGAGCGCAGCGAACGAGCTCCAACCTAAAGGTGAGTGAGCGTAGCGAACGAACTTCAACAAGGACGTGATTGAGCCATGCGAACGAGCTCACATATGAAGCTAAACGGGGCAAAGCCCGCGGGTACAGCTAGTTACATAATAAAATGGTGCTGTTCTAACATAACCTAACCAAACCAAACCTCTAGAATGTTAGTAAACTCCTTTTTATGTCAGAAAAGGCATGTCAGAGTGGTTGGCCGTGCTTTATGCGAATTCGTGACTGCATTAAGTCCTCTGAGGTTAGATTGGGTAAGTTAAAGTTTAGGTTATAATCAATTGAGTCGTTAGTTTATGTCGACTGCAGACTGTCATTTTTGTTTTTTTTTTATCCTGGGAAAAACACATCAAATTACTATTTAAAAAATTCAAGCAGTTAACCTCAGTTAACCCACAGTTCATTCCACTTATAAATGTCATCAGTCCTGCCTTGTTTATTGTAATGTTGCCTATATTTGTACACGGCGATTTCTTAGGAAATTATTCACCAGTGGTGAAAAATAATGGTATATTTGGATTCAGGAGGTAAAAAACAATACAGTTAGACATAAAAATTAAAAATTTGTTTGGAGGCACCTATAGTGAATAAATACGGTACCTTTAGAAGAAGGTAAATTTTGTAAATGGTGGGCCTAGTTTGTTTTACCATTTTTATCAAACTAAACTAACCTAATTTGAATGCAACAGTATTGTAAATGAGTGGTATGCATCCCTCTTCTTGAAAAGATAACCTTCACAGGAAATCAAGATTGATATCAAATTAACAATTCATCCAAAGATAACGAATAGGCTACTGTAGGTTTTCCGCAAACCTGTATCCATCAACCATCTAAATTGAATGTGATCGTTATTACAGACCAGTATTGTGAGTATGGTGTACAGTCAGTCGGAAATCCTGCAAAAAGAAGTTTATTTGTTTCAAAGACTCGACTCTGGAGGAATATTGGAACCTATGAAGCACCTGAAGTGTATTGCGTTTCTGAGACCTACCAAAGAAAATGTGTCTTTGTTGTGTCGAGAGCTGAAGTATCCTAAATATGGAGTCTATTATATATGTGAGTTAAATTATATACGCTTGTTTATTGTCATAGCTCTTTCCATAGCTATAATACCAAAATTGTGGGTGAGTCGGTGGCTCAGACAGTAGCACTACAAACTAAAAATTCATGGCATTAGTAAATTCTTGTAAGTTTTTGTGCCAAGGACGTCAAAGTATGTAACAGTACATTCTAGTAGTTTATCGGCTCACCCATTGGTTTGCTTGATTCTTTCCACACATAGCCCTGAGGCCCATGTGGACGAGAAAGCGCAAGGTAAAAAAAGCTGCCAATCTCATTTTGTTAACAAACTAATACTATTAATGAGAAGTTGAATTATTTAACTAGACTGACTCTCAGCTATTAACTTCACTTAGTGCCATTTTTAATAAAAAAGCAACCAGTAACTTATTAAGTTTAGACTAAACTAAAACATACCTCGCTTTGCAGTTCAAATAGTGTGTTTTTAATCCATTACATATGTTTTGTCATATTTGGCATTTTCAAGTGGCTTACAGAAACACTAGGAACATTATAATATCCGAATTGGACTCGTCAATTCGTTGAATTTTACATGCTCGCTGCTATGGTGCCACGGGGCCAGGAGCTAGGAACGTTCCGGAACGTCACTGTTTATTGTTGTTTAATGTTTCAATGGATCAGCCAGCTCGTCAGGAGTGTCCTAATTTCTTTGCAGCTCGTGGGGACGTACTTTTCTGACAGTAAAAAATATAGTCTCCCAAAATCACCACGAGGGTCGTTTGGAACAGGGCTTTGTCTTTCCTGCTAGATAGCGCCACTAATTTACCGACTGCAACCTGGGTAGTGCTGCTATATATCAGAACTCTTTAGTACTATGTCCAAAGCCAGTTTTATTGCAGAGCATTGCTATCCAGTATAACTACTATTGTTTTTACTGTAATTCAGAGTATCAGCGGCAATATTACACAGCGGCGAGCACTAGTTCAGCTCCTGGCGCCGTCCCGGCATCTAGCGGTCAGCAGCGAACGTGTTAAAACATAAAAATTTACACATTTTGACACGCACAAACTAAAACATTTACATGTAGACCTACAACACTTACTGTAACCCGATCACGGCACTGACAGAGACAGAACTGGCATAAAAACTATTAGCACTTAAAAACTAAGGCAGGAAAACTAAAGCACTTAGTTTTCATGGCAGTTCTGTCTCTGTCAGTGCCGTGATCGGGTTACAGTAAGTGTTGTATGCATATATGTAAATGTTTTTGTTAGTGCGTGTCAAAATGTGTACATTTTTATGTTTTAATGTAAAATTTTATGACTTCGGATATTATAATGTTCCTAATGTTTCTGTATACCACTTGAAAATGCCAAATATGGTGAAACATATGTTGTGGATTAAAACACAATATTTGAACTGCAAGATGAGGTATGTTTTAGTTTAGTCTATACTCAGTTCAGGGGCTACACAATGGAATTTAATTTCATTACTTAAGATTATAAAATTTCCAATATAATTTATTAGATTCCTGTGACGCCCACCCATCAAGGAGTGTATTTTATTTAATATAGCTAGTAATAATAATATACAGAATGGTTAAATCTTTGTGTTAAAAGTCTTTCAGATTTCAGCAATATAATCGCTAAAGCTGATGTCAAGATGCTGGCAGAGTCGGATGAGCACGAGGTGGTCCGAGAAGTTCAGGAGTTTTACGGAGATTATCTGGCAATTAGTCCTCACCTGTTCTCTTTAAACATTCCGTCCTGTGCTCAAGGTTTGTAAATACCGTGGGATACTATCAGTACAACCATCTTTAATATGGTGTAGACATTTAGAAAAAAACTTACCTATTATAACAGTGGTTACCAATCAATAGTAATAACTAGTGGTACTAGTTTCGGGGTTTTAACCTCATTTTCAAATCCTTTTGAATTTCTTCTCGTCAAAATTCTTCGTCTTGACAAGAAGAAATTCAAAAGGATTTGAAAATGGGGTTAAAACCCCAAAACTAGTAATGCTCTAGAATAGGAATGATTGACGACAGGTCAGTAACCTTATTTATGTTGTTAACACGTTCGCTACGGCAGTAGTACAAAATTGTTCAATCACATTGACCAGCAACGCACATATGCGACGGCTGGTTTCCACCCATAGACTAGTCACATTAAAATAGACTGCCGTCGCATATTTGCGTCAGGGTTCCAATGTTATAAAATGCTTATATCTTTGTAACGGTCTATTTGAAGGCACTGAATTCCCTGCAGTGGTCTATAGGGATGTCTGACGCCCAACTGCGTCGCTTGGTCCGTGATATGATGATTGGTGACGTGATATGATAGTTGGAAAAACTGGTCTTTACTTTTCTGCGTCACTGTATGTATGTATGCAGTATGTATGCTGAATTATCCTATGTAGCTTTTATATTTGTTTAGTTATAAACTGTTCTTGAATAATGTGTTTTTAGCGAATTTCCCATATAGGGAATAAGCTATTACCGTAGTACTCATCGTAAGACCTGGACGCGGGACCGATTTTTTTTTTTCGTTTTGAGGTCCCTAGAGGCCAAAAACACCATCCGTTCAAATTCATATATATATATATATATTTATATATTTATATATTTATATTTATATATATATATATGTGTCCGTCAGCACGATAACTCAAGCAAAAATGATCCGATTTTGATGAAATTTGGTACAAACGTGTAAACGTACATTAATTCAAACGAGTTCGCGATCCAGCATGATCGGACCATGGGAACTGGGGTTTACGGGGGGTTTTATGGGGTAAAAATAGGTTTTTACCATTTTTGACCCAAAAAACATAAAATTTTGCAATTTCTTTCCAAACCATTTTGTAGAGCTTAAAAAAACAAATAATTTGGTATATTGAAGCGTTATTATGCGCCTAATAGTTACGGAGAAAATTCCGAAAAATTGTAAATTTAAAATTCCCATGTTATTCTTATGGAGAAAAAGTAAACTGTTGTAGTTTGCTTGTTTGTGAACATATTTTGATCAAATTTGGAAAATGTTTTTATTTCTTACTAACTATTCACATTTTACAAAAAAAAAAACAAAAACAGTTTTATCCTCCCTGATGCAGCAAACCTAAGTACTTGTTAAACTAATTTTATTTAAATCAAGAATAAATGTTATATTTTTAAGTAGACATTTCAGTGTAAATCCAATCAGTCAAATGGAAATTCGCTTAGTATGCAGGTTTGCTGCGGCGGGGGTATTTTTTACTTACTTTTACCTCAAAACACAAACAAAAATAAACTGTCGCATATATGCGACGTTTGGTCTATCTCAAGAAAACTATGATAGTTTTCACTATTGTCTTAGCCCTAGACCGGGCGTCGCAATTATGCAGCATTAAAAAAGGTTATACAAAATACAAAATACCCCCGCCGCAGCAAACCTGCAGACTAAGCGAATTTCCATTAACCTGATTAGATTTACATTAAAATGCCTCCATAAAAATAGCACATTTATTTCCTATTTAAATAGAATAAGTTTAACGAGTACTTAGGTTTGCTGCAACAGGGAGGGTAAAAAAGTTTTTTTTTATAAATTGATAATAGTTTAGTAAGAAATAAAAGTATTTTCCAAAATCGATCAAAATATGTTCATAAACAAGCAAACTACAACAGTTGACTTATTCTCCATAAGAATAACATGGGAATTTCAAAATTACATTTTTTTTTAATTTTCTCCGTAGCAAATAGGCGCATAATAACGCTTCAATATACTAAATTATTTGTTTTCTTAAGCTCTACAAAATGGTTTGAAAAGAAATTGTGAAATTTCATGTTTTTAGGGTAAAAAATGGGAAAAACCTATTTTTACCCCATAAAACCCCCCATAAACCCCCGTTCCCATAGTCCGATCATGCTGGTTCGCGAACTCATTCAAGTTTATCCTGCCTTACACCTTCAAACCAAATTTTATCAAAATCGGACAAACATTACTCAAGTTATCGTGCGGATGGACACATATATATATATAAAAATTTGAACGAATGGTGTTTTTGGCCTCTGGGGACATCAAAATGAAAAAGTAAATCGGTCCCGGGCTTAAGTCTTACCATGAGACCTACGGTAATAGCTACTTCCCTATAGGGAAATTCGCTAAAAACAAGAATAAATTATTTACAAACACGACTGTAGCGTATTACGATGTAAATGATCACTGTTTTACAGGTTTTCGCCTGTGGTCTGTGTGTACTGTTATCCAAGTGACAGCCAGTCTATGTGTAAGATTCAAATGTATACCTCGGTCTGTGGCAATGACCGTGGCGTCGCATTTATGCGAAGCTCAGTAGCGAACGTGTTAATTAATCAATCCTGTGGGCACATTATGAGAATAAACCTTAAAAAAAACCCTCATGGCTCAAAGACCAGGGACTTCACCTTGAAAGATTTATGGAACTTCACCTCCCAACTAGACAAAACTAAGTTACGAGGTCAAAGATTGTCTTTTAAACATTTCCCACTTTGTTGAAGTTTTGACCCAGAAATGTTAAATTTTTACCTGGAACTGCCCTTATGTTTTATTTTCATGGACACCCTAATTGTAGATGTTTATGATTGGCAGGGCTGGCGTGGGACCCAATACAGCTGGCTAGATGTACCCAGGGAATATCAGCTGTTTTGTTGTCACTTAAGAAGTGTCCTTTCATACGCTACCAGCAATCTTCAGATATGGCCAAGCGACTCGCTGAAAAGATAAGGGTAACTAGCTTTGCTAAACAAAATTTTTAATCTATCCATTTGTTTATGCTGACAGAAAACACTATTTACAATAATTAATTATTGTTTTATAACCCAATAAACAATTTACCAGTAAAGACATTTATTGGATGAATAAAAGTACTATTATACTAAACAAAGGATTGATCAATGCAAACAACTAGCAAATGTAAAGAGTAATAAATACCACCATCGGATGGAATAAGCTTGATATTATTGTTGTTTTTCTTCTGACAACCGATTTATTTTCTCCTCCTCTTTAAATCAACATAACTTAACCACACTACCTTTAGCACACTAACTTTTAACATAACTTAGTTAATTTCATCTTTAAATTCCAAATTCAATTTTTGTATATGTGTGTTCAGCAAGCCATACTATAATAGGTGTTTTACCCTTATGTTTTTGATACCTTGTTACGCTTAATTTTATGGCAGGAGGTGATATCCAAAGAGGAGAAGCTGTTTGATTATCGACCATCTGACCCAGCCCCTCTCTTGCTGATCTTGGACAGAAGAGACGACCCTATCACTCCTCTATTGAGTCAGGTATCTATAATATGAGTACTAAACTAGAACTAGACATCTCTATATTCTCCTCTACCTCCCTCCATAGTTCCACTTCCTCCTTGGTTTCCCCTTCCTGTGTTGTTCATCTTCCTCAATAGTTCCTCCTCTTCTTTACTTTAGTTCCTCTCCTGCGCAGTTAATCTTCCTCAACAGTTCCTCCTCTTCTGTACATTAGTTCCTCTCCTGTGTAGTTCATCTTCCTCAATAGTTCTTCTCTTCTGTACTTTAGTTCCTCTCCTGCGCAGTTAATCCTCCTCAATAGTTCTTCTCTTCTGTACTTTAGTTCCTCTCCTGCGCAGTTAATCCTCCTCAATAGTTCCTCCTCTTCTGTACTTTAGTTCCTCTCCTGCGTAGTTAATCCTCCTCAATAGTTCCTCCTCTTCTGTACTTTAGTTCCTCTCCTGCGCAGTTAATCCTCCTCAATAGTTCCTCCTCTTCTGTACTTTAGTTCCTCTCCTGCGTAGTTAATCTTCCTCAATAGTTCCTCCTCTTCTGTACTTTAGTTCCTCTCCTGCGTAGTTAATCTTCCTCAATAGTTCCTCCTCTTCTGTACTTTAGTTCCTCTTCCTCCGTGGTTCCTTTTCCTGTGTAGTTTATCTTCCTCCATAGTTCCTCTTCCTCTCTAGTCCCTTTTACTTCATACTTTCTCTTCCATCTCCAGTCTCATAATCTTCATCTATTCTCTACAGTCTTCACCTAATTAAACACTCTTTTTTAGGTTTGCATTCTTGTCCAATAAAAAATAATATACTACATCACACTTAAAACAGACAGTTTTGAGCTGGTGGTTTAATGTTTATTTGTTTGTACAAAAAAGCAACAGTTACAGCTTTGACATATTTGAATCATATAGCTGCATGTTGAAAGATTGGATTTCTGCTTGATTCTAGTGGACCTACCAAGCAATGGTGCACGAACTGCTTACTATCAGCAACAACCGAGTCAACCTGAGCCATGTCCCCGGCATCTCTAAGGAACTGAAGGAAGTTGTACTGTCTGCCGAACATGACGACTTCTATGCTAACGTAGGTGGAATTATGGTTTACAATGTAAATTGTTTTTGCTGACGTTCTTGTTTGTGTCTGAGTACCTAAAAGACATATTTGGACATTCTCAACTTTTTTTGTAAATAGGTTTAATGATTTTTATTCCTAATAAAAATTTTTCCTCTTTTTTTACTTGCAGAACTTGTATTTGAACTATGGTGAGATCGGCCAAACTGTGAAACAGCTGATGGACGAATTTACGAGGAAAGCCAAAAGTCATCAAAAGGTTGAGAGCATCGCAGACATGAAGGCTTTTGTAGAGAATTACCCTCAGTTTAAGGTAGATATAATGAAAAATCATACTAGGCCTAGTTATAATATTTAAGCTTGTGGTTTGGATGTTTAATATTTTTATTTTTTAGTTTACCTTTATCTAATTAATAGCATCATCACTTTACTAGGACTAAAACTGATGTTTTTCAACCAGCTAAATAAGGAAAGGCCAAAATAAAGAAAAACCAGTTTTGGACCGAGTAATAAAAACACTCACTATTCTAGTATTCTGTCAGTATAGCTTAGTTTCTGTCAAATTAGTGTATGTTTTGATAATGTCAATCGTCAAGCCATCATCACTAGTTCCTGCTTATAATGACGTTTTTAAAACACTTAGACATATAAAAATTGAGTGAAATTGAGCTTTCTGGCAGAATAATTAGTAAGGGATATAGTCTTAGATTTAAATCATTCAAACAGCTCAGGAAACTATAAAACATGAATTTACATTGCGTGATGAATATTTTGCATCGCACAAACTTAATGTTTATGGTTAGTTTATTGTCAAAAGCTTTGACTTACCTTGTAATAGAATGCCTGTCAAATTCGTGGTTGTGTAAAAAGTAAATCCTTTGGTGCAAGAATTTGTAGTTTTTATTGTTTTGTTTTACTTATTTTTATGAATCCTAATAATCTTCTGCTTCTATAGACAATTGACAAAATCTTTATTGAAATATTCCTAGAGAACATTCATGTGTCTATTATACCACTTATTTATGATGTTGCATAGAAAATGTCGGGGACTGTATCCAAACATGTGGCAGTGATCAGTGAACTGTCATCTTTGGTCGCCAAACGCAACCTGCTCGAGGTGTCGGAGATGGAACAAGAGCTGGCTTGTCAAAACCAGCATTCTCAGCAACTTCAGGCAAGTTTAAAATCTATGGAAATGTTAATGATTCCTCATCTTTTAAGATAGCTGAATCTCAAATGCACTGAATACTTACTTGGAACGTGTATTGATACTGCAGAAAAAAGCTCTAAAAATCATGTATGATGCCGACTGGCTGGAAGGTTATAGAGGTTTCCAATGATAATGAGCTACTTACTGAAATCAGTCTCTACATAATAGAAACCATTGCTTTGGCCTCAACCAGGAATCTCTAGCGGCATGAAGAAGTACATAGCTATGCAACGAGAAATAGAATTACAGTAACTACAACCTCCCTGGCCATTGCCTTGGACTCTTCGAACGTAAACCTACCTATGCCGGATCAAGATTCTTCAACATGCTGCCAGAAGAGCTGAAAGATGACAACCCTAAAACCTTGAAAGCTCACCTCGCCCGTTGGTTCTGCAAGATGCTATTCTACAGCATAAAAGAATTTATGGACTGGCAGAATTTCCATCGCATTAGAAAATTCATCTCATTTTATTAAGATTGTATTGACGCCTTTCAAATCTCTTAAGATTTTGATTTTGAATAAAGATTTTCTGTCTGTCTGTCTGTCATCTCAAGGCAATATTTTTAAATCAAGATGCTTATGGGAGATTGCTGAAAATCTGTCAAAAGCTCAAAAAATGAAGTCTTAGAAATATTGATTCCAACCAAAGTGAATAATTGGATAACAGGCTTACCTGAATGATAAAAAGTCCACACTGGCACTATAAACACAAAACTTGTAACTATGTACGGGCTCTCCAACTCATACCATCCTTAGTTGAAAATGCTGTCAGTGATAATGAAATAGGTATTCAAATCTGTTGTGTTTCTTGTACCAGATAGTGTCACTTTCCCATTCAGGTAAGCCTTTAATCCTAAAGCCCCTAGGCCCATGTGCTCTATCCAATAAACAATAGAGAGATTTTAATTTTTACATTAGACTAGCAGAGTACCCGTCCTTTGTACAGGGTTGGCATATAAGTATAAATTGCTTATTGCAGTTATACTCAAGCTTTGCGTTTGCAATGGGGGAGGACAAAGTTTGATAAAATTTGCTTCTTTAAATTGACGGTATACTATGGTATTGCACATCTACCATAGCCATAATGTTCTACCTCTTCACCTAAACAATAAAGAAAAATAATGTATTACAAATTTAAAAAATCACAAATTATTCATGACATTAAAAACATAAACATAACTGTAAACAATCCTACTTTGACAGTTCTCATTGCGTGTCACAGTTGTTTGTTGCTGCTTAGTTCAAATTAGCTGTTTACATAAATGCAAAAAAAATATAGTGCTGCACCCTGTTGGTAAATCTTATAACTTTTTAATGCTTTTGTATATCATAGAACCAACTTTTTTAGTTGAAACAGCTGACTAAATTCTTCCCTTTAAATATGAATACTCATAAGGTTAACATGGGGAACTACAGAGCCACTGGGGCGGAGCCCGGAGGGATTTTTGAGATAAGAATATGCCCATATGTTAATCGGGAATGTGAGCTATCATCATGCCAAATTTCAGCCCAATCCATCCAGTGGTTTATGCGTGATTGACCTTCAAACACACAAACAAACAAGCAAACAAACAAACAAACAAACAAACAAACACACAAACTTTCACATTTATAATATTAGTAAGATTCTACATTGTAAAAACAAACTCTGTTTCAAAATGTAGGTTTTTAGGACTCGAACTTAAGATTTAAAATTCCTTGGTTTGCCCTCACGAATGATTGTGTTTGGTGTTTGATGTGTAGAAGTTGAGGTCGTTGCTGGGCAGCAGCAAGGTTAGAGATGAAGAGGCCCTCAGACTGGTGATGTTGTACGCTCTGAGATACAAGAAACATTCCAACAATGACATCACTGGCCTGGTGGACGCTCTAAAGAGGAGAGGACTCAGCGAAGACATGATAAAGGTGTGTAAATTGTTTGGAGTAAAGAAGAAAAAGTTTCATTTGTAAAGTAAAAAGTTTTTCCCTTAAATTTTATATTAAAACCCTTTACCCTTTTTAAATCCAAATTCTTTACACATCTGATGGTTGCCCCTGTGTTGGAAGAATCATGAGAAAAACAATTATAGACAGACCGATGACAGTGGAAGCTAGATGTTATAAAAAATTAAAAGTGGGCACTCTGGAATAAAAGTTTTAGGTACCCAAAGATCCTTATGGGACGGCCTGATATTGTTTGTTTCTTCCAATAGGTTTTTTGACAATTCTTAAAACTACACTGAATTTAATGTTGCGCTACTAACACTAAATTAATGTGTTGTACTCAAAGGTATATCTTTTGTAGCGCAACTTTTACCAATTACTCGTATATGATCTATTGTAATAATATAATACTAATTCTGAACTGAAATGTAGTAATACAAGGATGAATAATGCAACGAAATGGAAAATAACAATGTATTATGGCCCTTTGATCTACAATTTACAATGTGCAGGTTGATTAATAGCTTCTGAATATAAACAAAACCCTTTTATTTCCGACCAAAATTGAATCTCGATATTTTGAAAAATGAATTGCTGTACTTCGATTGCGGTCATGCAACCCACAGAAATATCAAAAGTGTGATTATTTAACGGTTTGAGGCTCTCCACGCCACAAACCCTTTTATGTTGACTGGCCAGAACTGAACTCTATTGAAGATCTCGTAGGACGCTGTCTGTACCAGTTAAGCTAGACACAATCCTTGATACAGCTTTTTTATTTCCAAGTTTGATTATTTAACAGTTACAGGCGTTTTTGGCGGAGAAGTCTATGAACAATTTTCGCACTTCACCCTTCGATACAACTGCTGGAGGTTGACCAACAACCTTCACCTTAATACCGTTTTAATTTGTAGCTCAATTCAATTTTAGTGGCAATATCTATAAGCTACTTATATTTTAGTTAGGGGGCACACGCAAAAATTATTAAATTTTTTTAATTTTTTTTCTAATTAAAGACTGTTACTTCCTGAACAAAATTACACCTTACTAACCAGATCGTTTCTGGTTTAAATCCGTCTGTGTTCATTGCATAGAGCAGCTAGTTACATGGTTACATATGGTTATTTTGCATTTTTAGTACTACCCACTTGAACTGTAGTAATATTCTGTGGAATTGGACCTCTTTGGCTACTTGGAGACCAAATAGCTTATCAGACCTAAAAAAACCGTTCTCTAATTGTCATTAATCTACTTTCTTAAGAAATAAGAAGTCTTTTACTAGGATGAAATATCAGTTTTATCATACAAAGTATGGCAACAAGGGGCTACCCCTCTTTATAGCTCCAAATTATTGTCCTCAAATTAATTTTGTTTAAATAATTGACAATTGTGTAAGCTAAGGATGTATAATTAATTTTTGTACAAAGCTATATATGTTTTTTGTCAGATGGTGTTTAATATTATTGAATACGGAAGCTCGCAAGATTCTGCAGCAGAGAATATAATGTCTCAAGAGTCTGTTGTGAAAATCACCAAGAGACTGTTTAAGGTAATTAATTAGATTAGATTTCTAAGGCACCGACATATGAGGGTGCATATTTTAATGCGAAGATGAGTGTAGAATGCGTGTTGAATGGATGAGATGATAGCTCCCCAGATTCGCTGTTACTTTGTTTTTAAAACAGTATGTATGCAAAATCATCTAAATTGTGGCGCTATATGGCCAGGATTACATCTAATAGTTGCAACTTATTTTGCAGGACCTGAAAGGTGTAGAGAATGTTTACACCCAACATGTTCCTCTAGTCAGGGAAACCCTGGAGGATCTCATCAGAGGGAGACTCAAAGAGTCTTCGTATCCGTTCCTGGGGAACTCCGCTCCTGGCCGCAGGTAAACTAGAGTCAAGAGAATTTGAATAGCACTGTTAGCTGTAGACCCATAAAGGCTTTTTAAACCCGGAGCTGTATATAAATGACAATATTAATATGTCCATTGGGGAGCGAGCTGGTCTAGTGGTTAGAGCGCCGGACTACGGTTCCAGAGGTCCCGGGTTCAAATCCCACCAATCACCAATGGATTTTATCTATGTGATAATGCCGCAACCCCTAGCTCTAGGGAGTAATGTGTCACGCTGTGAAGTAATGTGAAAAACAATTCCGGGCTCGTGCCTAGCGTCCTAGGACAAAAAAAATATATATATATCCATTGGGTAACAAAGAAAAGGAATATATTTGTTTTTACTGCTAATCAAAGATTTAAAGAAAGTTTTTCTTCACTTTTTCAATACATTAAAATTATTTGATTGTCTGTTGATCTAAACTTACTAATTCATTCACTTGCTGCTGTAGACGTACTGAAAATAAATCTAAAACATCACCAGTTTTACATGTCCAGCCTAAGGATTTAATTATTGTCAGTTTCGACACCTTGTGTTTTACTCGAGTAAATGTTTAAATATTATCAATGTGTAAGGTTGTATCATAGCCAAAGTACCAGCAATGTAGAAACGATGTTTCTTTGCCTTTAAGTGTTGATACAATATTCAGCCATTCTAAAAGAGTGTTGACATTTTCTGAGAAAGCAAATTTTAAGAAACAATTGTGCAAAATTATATCTTATCCTGTCTAAAATAGATAGATTACACACAGTTTAAATGCATCGAGTATAATTTCCAACTATTTTACCTGTCAAACCTTCAATTTGCTTTCATTTAACAATGATATTAATTGATAAATATTGAGTTTTTTTGCCTCTTGAAGCAATGACGTCTCTGCTGTTGTCCATGACGATAATAAATGCCGATTATCTGAATGGCTGTTATGTAATTATAATCTCAACAATGTCCCATTGTCTCAAGTGGCAATGTGTCTAATGATTACTATTTTGACCTAAGAAATTGATAACAAAGTGGAACCTAACCCAAGACAAAAATTATCCATGCACTTCCATTATACCTTCAATCGTGCCTAAAGAGCTTAAGGACGATCGATGCATGTTGGTTAGATCTACTGCACGACTGCCCAGGGCATTAGAGAGTTACCCATGACCTAGGTCTACTGCATGTTGTTATTGGTTAATAAAACTAGACAGTGGTGTATTTGTCCTTTTAACACGTTCGTAGGGACTTACTTTCTCCACATTATTGTGGTCGTAATTTTTTATTTTGTAATTAGGTTACGGTGCAAAGTAGGGGATGCATGGCAGTTCCTCTCCACATATTTTAAGAATAGCTTCTTTCATCAACCTATCATGTGCGATCTATACAGTTACGTTGGGTTATGTAACACAGTATGGCGCTTTCGATCTTCACATCCATTGAATCGGAATGGCTTAGAGAGAGAGGAAAAATCATAAATGTGAAATGGGAATCAGAAATGTGACAGTCTTTTCACACGGAAGGAACAATTCACCTAGAACCTAAAAACAAATTTAAAAAATTAACTGTTAACAATTTAACTAAACCTATCCATTTAGTAAACTTCTAAACCACTAGTTTGAACTATGTTGAGTTTTAAAGCATGTGTGATATTGTTATATATAGAAAGAGAAACTCTATATTATACTTAGTAATAAATAAATCTGGAGTATTAATCACAATATCATCATGACCTGAACTTCTGTTAACATCTGTGATCGGAGGACAATAGTGATTATTCCCCACGGTAGCGTGATTTGTGATCACAGCAGGCCAAATTTTCAACACCATCATCAAATGCGATTGCAGTGACATCGCAAAGAAGAATTTTCGATCACACACTCTTTGCAGATGCTTTGTGCGATCACAGCATATCACAAGGTCAACTTTATGGCTTTGTGCTCAATCGCTCCAGCTTTTGAGCTTGGCTTGGCTCAAAAATCAAGTCACTTATATCCACACCTTTTGCCGTAAGTATTGTGAATATGCAACTATAAAAAAGTAAATAGTATACTGTATGTCCATAGAGTGCAGGACGTGATAGTGTTTGTGGTGGGAGGTGTGACCTACGAGGAGTCCCTGGCGGTTTGTCAACTCAACCGCAGCACTACGATGGGGGGGGCTCGTGTAGTCCTGGGAGGTTCCACCATTCACAACACGGAGAGTTTCCTAGCGGAGGTACGAGCTGCTACCCTGGGTCTACCAGCCACGTCTCGCAGTCACCGCTACTCTCGCAACTAAAGTGGTCAGTGTCCTTATTCTTATAACTCATCAACGTTGTTACAACTAAGGTTAGATATATGATTTACTTCCGGGTACTGAAGTAGACATGGCTTTTACAAGAACCAGATACAGCAATTTTTTTATAATAAAGGAGTTAGTGTAATGAGCTATTTACTGGGTGTTCTCAGGGACTTCCCTAGGATTGGCGGCGCCCGGTGTTGCCCCCCCCCCCCCCTTCGGATGGCCCTTTGTGTGCTTCGGTTTAAAATTACAGTATATTTTTTCTTAAGTTTTGGTAACATGATACCAGGGGCCCATTTCATAATAAACTACAAGTTACAAGTTACAACTTCTAACTTGTAATTTTTGCATTGAGCGATCAGCCGATTTACTAATAATATTAGTTTGTACTTTATTATGAAATGGGCCCCTGGTAGGGCCTAAAATATGATATTGGTTAAATATGTTGCTCTCTTAGTTTGGCCTGCTTAAACAGTTTATGTAATCACCAGAAATCAGTAATTTAAGCACACTCCGTTTGTAGCTCAACTGACTTACTTTCATTTTAAATCTGAAACTAGCTATAAGTTTAGCATGGGAAATAATTTATACTTCTATGAAAAGTCAAAGGTTCTTATCACATTATTATATACTGATGATCAACTCATGTTGTTACCTAGATGTTCGTCAATAATATACAAACTATCTTTTTATGTGGCTTTTGAAATCGCTGTTCATGCTACTCATATTTCTTTTATAATGATAATACTTAACGTAATTTTATATGTGCTAATTTCCACATAAACAATACCAAAGCGATGTACTAGGCATCACAGATTCAGACATGACTTCTATTCTGCAATATCTTCGTTAAACATTTTTCTTCTTTTCAATAGGCTATTACTAAGTTGTTTTCATCAAAATCCATTACATTTTAGTGGGTCATTACTTTTAACAAATTTTATTATACTAAATTATTCATCAGAACAGATTAGATTCAATAATTCTATGCTACGTTCACATCCTATGAAACTTTTGTAAACAAATTTAGAATATCTAATTTTCAAGATATTCCATAAAGATCTGTAGGATTTGTTTGCCATACCAATCATTCCAATTACCTATGTAATGGTGATAAATACCTCAACTCAAAGCATTTGACGTTTCATAACGAGAGATGAAGTGATGGTTAACCAACATTTTTGTTTTGCAGGTAGAATATCCGATACTTCTACCTAGCTACTTTAATAGTATTAAGTTATATTTATGTGCAATTATGTCTGGTATTAACTGTAAATAAAATCTGCATCCTATTTATGTATTATGTATGTTTATTGATGTTTTGTATAATTTTGTAATTATCTGTTATAAATGTTTATCTAATAAAGTAATTACTGTTTTAGTGTTTGTAGTTTTCTAAATCTTCCTGTTTGCCTCAACATTATAAAAATGAGTTTACACCTTAATTTTGAAAATATTATTGTGATCAACATTCACTCACTACACAACGTTTGGTAAACATGACATATGTTGATCAAAACTAGTGTTTACGTACTACACAACAATTTGCAAGATAATAGAAACCCTGTATAAATTGATCAAAATAAATCAAAATACCTCTTAAACACTAATGAATGATGAAGGTTACAACAATCATGAAAACAATATCTTGAAATGCACAAGATAGGCTACATAAGTGAACATGTGTTAATGGATGATAACGTCATAATTCAATTGTTTACTAATGGAACATGTGTTTAAGTGAAGAGATACATGAGGTACTTATACATAAGGAAGTAACCTTCTGTAAAATACTACAAATCTGAATTTTGCACACAGCCTTGAATGTAAGCAAAGTATATGTTGACGCTTTGAGCCCCAAGAATTTTTCATTTGTTTAATTATGCGTTTTAGCGAATTTCCCATACAGACAATAGGCTATTAATGGGACCAATTTTATTTTTTATTTTGATGACTCGAGAGGCCAAAACACCATCTCTTCGAATTCATGTAGGCCTATGTATAATAATTTTGTCCTTTTTCTGCTAGCAAGAAAACTCAAGCAAAAATTATCAGATTTTGATGAAATTTGGTACAAACGTGTAAATCTACGTTTATTGGAACAAGTTTGCAAACCAGGGTAAAAATTGGTTTTTCTCATTTTTGACCATAAAAACATATAATTTCCCTCTAAACCATTTTGTAGCACTTAAAAAACAAATAGTTATTTTGTTAGAGGATAAGTAAGCTGCTGTAGCCGGAGAAACAACACCTTAGACTGCTTGACCATAAGACCCAAAGGTTTACCGCTCCAACAACTTTGGTCAACTTAAGCTAAAGTTACTTTCAAGCATAGTACTTCTAAATTTTACTCCAAGATTGCAGCTCATGTCAAGTATATCTTGCAGTTATAATTTAAAATAAAAACATCTCCAATATTTCATGAATTTTTAATTTTTATGAGGCCTTTTGCCATATTTATATCAATAAGCTATGCTGGCATCACCAGACCCATAACAAAGGTTTTGTGATGTGTCTGATGATGCCAGCATAGCTGGCAAATGGCCTCATAAAATTTTAAATTCATGATATATTGGGTATGTTTTAATTTTAAATTGTATTCATTCCAATATTGCCAGTTCTTCTTGAAGATATCTTTCAGTTGTTTTTGTTGATTCAATATTTGATCCTTTAGAGCTAATAGAGTTCAAAAACGTTCTTGGTATTTTGGAATATTGCGATCAAGTTTGGCCTTATGAGTAGGAACTTAAAAAGACTCTGAAACTGTATATTTTATCTTCTGCTAAACCTAAACTACATATAAAATACAATCTTTTTAAAAATATTGATATTTTACCAGAGAAAAAACTGTTGGTATATTTTGTTGAGCATTTATGCTTTTGGAAAATATTCTCCGTAATAGCAGTGATTTTCATAAGAAAAATACTTAAAATGGTTGGATTGAACTACAAAAACAGTTGGTGATACTTGCAACCAGTACTCTTACTTACAAATGCATTAAAGTTATATTAGAAAAATAATCTTACCCATGGTATGCCACCATAACTTTACGTCCTTGCCATTTTGTCCTCAGTAGATAATCGAGGAAGTAGAATAGAAGTCACACTCACATCAAGTTATCTCTAAGATAATAAACATGTCTTTGATCTGACTAAATATTCTTCAATCTTCTCAGGAACAACTGATAATGATGGAATCAACAATGGATTATACTTTGAATAGATTAAAGTTTATCCGTTTAAGCTTAATTTTTAGTTACTGTGTCAAGGTTGATGTTTTATTTGATAGAAAGCTTACTGGTAATATTTCTTGAGCACTATACAAGTTTATGGTTCTCTTTTCCTGATATGCTGAATAAAATTGAAAATTTCGGAATATCTTTTATCTTATTATGACGTTGCATGTAATTTTTATGAAAGGTAAAATAAATGCTGTTTTTGTAAAAAGATTTGATCATTCAATTTCCAAAAGTCTTAATAATGAATTGACTCCCTCAGTAAATTTTGTAAAAGTAAAAATCCCTTTGTATTTATTATCTAAATAGTTCATTATTTTAAATTTTATATTTTGACTTAAATACCTCATACATAAGAGCTTTGATTATCGAATTCCGTCTTTGTTCTATTTGTTGTTATTGGTGTCTTACAGCATACAACTGTAGACTTGCCTTTTTACAAAGATGTCAAATAAATAATTCAGGCCTATATCTATATCTGTTTTGTAAATGATTTACATTATTCATATCTTACTCCTATTGTTATGTTATTCAGTAAGACTGTTTTTATTTTATTTTAAATTTAAACACTATATTCTGTACCAAATCTAGAGAAAACATTTTTGATCTGGACGATTTATTTGTAAAGACATCAAACTCTTAAAATAAGATTTTGTTGTTTGGCTCTTTTTCATTCAACATTTTATAAATATTACTTACATTTCGAGTGTACAAACTTTTGTCTTGATTTTAATAAAATCACAACTAAAAAGTATGTTCAGCTAATCCATTTTGCAACAAATAAATCAATATTTTACTCCAGTCATGATTTTGGTGTAGTGAACACAACACAAGAATAAAGTGTGTATGGCTTTCAAAACCAGCCACTATTGTTTAAACTGAATATTTGAGGTAAAGTGTACCAGCGTCAATTGAAAACACTATCAATAAATTGCATTAATGTATGTAATGTGGAAAAATCTCTTTTTACAAGAAACTGAATCCAAGTTGGTTTACATTAAAGCTCTCTGATGTCAGTGATATCAGAATTTGACTATGGATATAAGTAGTACCAAAACCGTTTTTGCAAACTCAAATAACACAGAAAACTCATTAATAATCCCTATACAGAATTGTTGACAGTCTGTTTTCTTAGAAACACTGATTCACTGGGTCTTAAATGTCTGGTATAACACTGGGTTCATGATTTATTGTGTTGAGACATTGTATTTTCCAATTTACCTTCAAGACGTGATCTTGACTTGTTAACAACTGACAAGTTTTGATTGATGGGTGATAAGATGCACTGTGGCCTGACTGAGATTTCCGACGTTCATTCAGGTCGTAGTAGCGCACTCTCAATGTCTCTCGGGGTTCCGAGTCTCGCCGCAGTAAGTAAACGTTTTGAAAATTTAGCTTAGAATGTTGTTGAGGAGTTTCAAAAATGTTTTGTAAAATAGCTGTGACTTACATTTGACAGCTTGAAAAAACCAATAATTTTATCTTAATATAATTGTTTTAATGAAAAGCTAATTGTGAATGTGATATCTATAATGTAGTGTGTTAAGCAAAACTAAAGAGATTGTATAGCAAATAATAATTTACAAACTTTTCAGGTTGATTTGGGTCCCTGAAAGGATTTTAAAATATGTATTTGGGTGATTACTTCAAACGAAAGTATGAAACATTAAACTCCTATAAAATTCATTATCTTAGATTAAATTACCCTTGGATTAAATGACTCTTTAGTCCATGAATCAACAGATACTTTACTGAGTTAACATAATAATTTATAGAGATTTTATCACTTGCTATGCAACCTAAAATGTAAAAAAAAAACTGTTGATAACAGTACTGAGAAAGTCGAGTTTTCTACATTTATTTTAAATATGCATGCATACTCTTTTAACAAAAAACTTAAAAAATTCAATAATACCAAAATAAAATAGTGGTACAAGGTTAGTAGTAGTAGTACGCTTGAGACCAGGATGATGATTGAACGCAGTAAAATCTCGTAAGATCAACTTTAAGAACTTAATTCCACAATACAATCAAAGAAAACCTTGTCACAATCACTCATGACTATGATCAATAAAACATGGAATATCTTAACAACACTTGAATTTAGTTCAAGTTATACTATCAGACGTAGATTTCCCTTTTCTTGTTCTGTCTGAGAACGAATGTTAGGTTTTATTTTAATTTTATAGCATCCTTGAATACAATTTTTGATTTTGAAAGTTAAGTGTGATTAAGGCTTAGAAGAATGTTAAGAGCTCTGTCTATAACCGTAAGTATAATATAAAACAAAATGTTTACAGTTCATTTTCGTCTAAAGCAAACTCTCAAAAAATTAAACATCCTAACTCTCTCTTTATGACCTTAAGAACCATTTTTCATGTAGGAAAAATTGAATTGTAGCTTGCAACATAAAGTTTTGTTTTCCAACATAAAATTTCTTTACTGTAAAAAAACAAACAGTGATTTGGCAAGAAATTGACCTGTTTCATCATTTCTATTCATTTATAAAATTATTTCCAAACTTTTACTGTAGCATGTGATGTCTATCCTATCAGGCCCGTTCAAACGGGGCGAGTTTACAAGCTACACGCCAGCGTGTAAGAAGCCGGCGAGTTGGCGAGTGTGCTTGTATTCGTTCACACGGAGATTGTCCACTAGCCAACTCGCCGGCGTGTAGAAAGACGCCGGCAAGTTGGCGAGTGCGCTTGTAGCCGTTCACACGATGCTTTTTCCACTCGCTCAGTAGCTGGCTTGAACCAAATCCTCCAACATCTTTGAGTAACAAGCGCACAAGCACAAGCAACTGTGTTCACACTGGGCTACTTTACACGCCTACTCGCTCAAAAGCTGGCGAGTTGGCGTGTAAAGTAGCGACAGCGTCAACTTTTTCCAGAGCTTTTTTACAAGCAGCTTTTGAGCGAGTACGTCGTTCACACTGAGCTATTTTACTAGCTGCGTGTAAAAAAGCCGGCGTGTAGCTTGTAAACTCGCCCCGTGTGAACGGGGCTATAGTCCGTTCACAAAATTTAGGTGGTTTGAGGGGAAGTTCCCCTACTACTTTTTGCTAATTTGCAGCTGATTGTCATTTTGACAAACCCCAGCTGTTGAGCCATTGTCTTAAAGGTACCATCAAGTGGAGAGGATAGATTTCTTCCCCTAAAACTGCCTAAATTTTGTGAATGGAGTATAATATCCTACAAATAATGACATCAATAAATAATCTGGATTTGGGTCATTTATTTACTTCATAAGTGTTTTACCTTTTTTCACAATTTTTTCAAGAAACTGGTCCAAACTCGGATCTCTTTCTAGAGATCTTGGTGAATAGGATAGTTTACTTTAGCAAATTTTAACTTTGTATGTTTTAATGATGTGGCCAAAATCAAACAATAATAATTTTCTAACATTGGTATTAGTAGTCAAATGTTTTGAACTACTTGGTTTTACAACTATTTTGCAAAGGGTTTTATGCATGTTAAATTGTGTTTTAAAATATTTTACTATAATTAATCAATTTATTGACGCTTATGATTCTTTTACTGTAGGAACGCAATCAGTCCATAGTAGTGGAAGTGATTGAGTTCAAAGATGAGAAGATACCAATCGGAACACCCAACATTCTAAAGCGGAGTTATGAGGTTAGTAAGCTACCTAATATTGTTACAACTACACTACAATTGTATAGTGTATAGTGTAGCAAACTTTTATGTAGATTTAGATTTAGACTCCATTTAAGTATCTTAAGATACAAAACAGACTAAATCTAGAGTGATGTTTCATGGTCAGAGAGACAACTGCTTAGACCGCTATTGGAGCTGAGTGACTGGAGCAGATATAGTCCTCACTTTTTGCTTTGTAATCAAAAGGTTGTCAGATCAGTAGTCCTTGATTATTGGACTTGTAATAATTGTCCTAACCAAAGAACCAGCTTATCTTAGTAACAAAGTTACAGAGGCCATAAAACTCCACTCTACTCTCATCCTTCACTTATATTTGGGTTTAAAAAAACTCAATTTTGAAGCGTTCCATCAAAAAAATAAATGGTTTGTATGTTTTGTTGGCGTAAATGGTCAGACCGAGGGTCTACTGCTCTAACACTGTTAAACACCGATCAGTGTTCATTAACTAACCAAATGCTATATAGTGCAGTAAAAATAAGAGAAAAATTCCATAAACCTAAAAAAAATTAGCACAACCGGGGAATTTGGTACAGATGTTGGGTGTACCTTCCTTTTGAACATACTAAAAGTCCCCTAAAATTGAAGCTGTGCTACGGCCGCCATATTGGAAAATGGCGGCATATTTCTGTATTTTTCGCTATAGTGACTTTATTATTAGAGATACAGGAAAAAGCTAAATGTACAAAATGTAGATCATCTAAAAATACACATTTTTTGTATTTACCATCTTTCTCTAAACCCAACGGTTTTTGAGTTATTTGTTATTAAGTATATTTATTGTTTTCTATTTATCAAAAATAGGTGAATCAAGTGGAAATTTAAAGGATTATGATAATTTATCCCATTTAGTTAAATAGTGTGATACTATAAAATCTTTTAAGCTTATTTTATGAGTAAACCCATGTAGCACAGATGGTTGGGCCAACGTTGGTAAATTGTGGAGGCACACAGTTGGCCAACGGTAGAAATGTCACCTCTTTAAACTGTTTTCCAGCCAACCATTGTCCAACAATGGCCCAACCATCCAAAAATACTGATGGCCAACTAACCATAACACAACTGATATCCAACCAACCGTTTTATTTCACACAAAATAATAAAGATTTAGTACGAAAAGCATAATTATTAGTTGAGTAAATTGATTAAATAGTTCATAAAAACAAATTTTGAAAAAAAGCTAGAACAAAATTTTTTGGCCCAGACGGGTCTCGAACCCGGGACCTTCGACTTATGAGCCTCTGACCTTACCACTGAGCTATCTGTGGTTGGTGATATAGAGAGTTTTCAAGTGGTGAAAGAGTAGCCGACAGTTGCAATGGTCGCAATACTTCAAACATTTTTGATACTACACAGTATAATATGATTCTGTTAATCTGTTAAGGCATGATAAGTAGTTTTTTTTTTTTTTTTGAGTTTTAGAGAGGATACTGGTATTTGAATATTGATTAATTAATTACCGTTAGATTCCCTTAAATTGTTGCAAATAAGTTAAAGAATATTAATTTAAAAAATATTTGCATTATTATAATTATTAAAATTTATTGTTGTAGCCCCGGAACTGTAATATATAAAATATCTGGTTTTACAATACCTTTATCAGTTCCAAAAACTTTTGGAAACTTTTGGAACTGATAAAGGTATTGTAAAACCAGATATTTTATTATAATTATGTTGTGAAAGCTAGACCCAGAGAATGAAAGTCGTGTAAACTCAATTATGGACCATCATTGTTCCAACAAAAGTATCTTTTGTTGGTCCAACGGAGTGAAAAACGGTTGGACAACGGTTGGCTTGATGTATGATACCCAGCAATGCATATTAATGTATTTCATTAACAATGAACCAATGTTGGTCCACAGTTGTAAATATTGGTTGGCCCAACTACGAGATATACAGTTGGACAACGGTTGGTTGGTTGTGGAAGCTCCAACCAACCATCGACCAACTGTCCCACAGTTGGCCAACGTTGGCCCAACCATCTGTGCTACATGGGAAACAACTCCGCCACAGCAAACCTGCTGACTCAGCAAATTTCCATTTGATTGGATGTTTTATTAATTGTATATAAATAAAATTAGATTCAACAGGTACCTAGATTTGCTGCTACAGGTAGGTTAGTAAAATATCAATAACTTAGTATAAAATAATTAAATTTTCAAGTTTGATCATAATAAATCTATAAACAAACAAACTGCAACAGTTAAATAATTCATAATAATAGCATGGTAGCTTAAGATTTACAATTTACAAATCTATATAAATAAAATTAGAGTTTTGTCTGTACATTGCTTAGAATAATGAACTTTTTGGTTATTTTTACATTTCATAGGTCAGAGAAACCGAATCAAACCTTATCTCAATTTCTGTCTGTCTGTCTGTCTGTCTGTCTGTCTGTCTATCTGTCATTCTCTTGGTAACGCTAAAATACGCACTTTATTACAACTACTCCTCAATAACTATAGCACTGTCCCGCCTGAAACTTATTTTCCAAATACTATACATATATGAGATGGTTTTAGACGTATTTCATCGAATATGAGACAGTTAGATATTTAACAGTAAACCCTTGAAAATCAAGTTTTTGTCGATTTTTGACGTGGAATTTCTGGAAGCCCATGTTAACCTTATGAGAAATGAAATTATTGAATCTTAACAGCTGTTTCAATTAAACAAGTTGGTTCTGTTCTGTGATGTTCAATAGCATTAAAGTTACAAGGATTACCAACAGGGTGCAGCACTAGCACTATTATTTCTTTTACATTTATGACAACAGCTAATTTGCAACCTGGAGGCGAGTGAGCGTAGCGAACGAGCTAACCTGAAGGCAAGTGAGCGTAGCGAACGAGCTAACCTGAAGGAAAGTGAGCGCAGCGAACGAGCTCCAACATACAGGTGAGTGAGCGTAGCGAACGAACTTCAACCAGGACGTGATTGAGCCATGCAAACGAGATCAGATAGTAAAAATAAAAGTAAGCCTACCGTTATAGGATCGACCGGCAGACACAGAGGTAATTTAACCTTTTATTGATTGTCATACCGATCCGGAACAACAAAAAACAACATAAAATGAAGCTATGTATAATAGTTTGGCCAGCATATCTTAAAATATGCAAACCAACTGCTGTTCGTTATATAAGAAGGTTTCAACTGAATATTATAAGATCCCCGTGCGTAGAACGGGTACACAGCTAGTTTAAATATACAAATTTTGGTTGTGTTTACTAAAAATATGGCGATTATTAGTCACGATTCGAATACTAACCGAAGGGGTTTTCAAAAGGAGATGAAGCAAGTAATTTAAGTACTGTAATATTAACTCGTACCAAGTATCGGAAATATTGTATGCAGTGAGGAAATCAACCATATTTTGTAAACTACGCAATAGTCATATTAATATTTTATACTCATTTTTACCCATTTAATAAATTAACATTTTCATATTTTGATGGCACCACCACTATCACTCTGATATCAACTAAGTGGGATGAATAATTGTCGTAAACCTTGAAGGTAACCGTCGATTGCGATGGGTTTCACCGATGTTTGATAATTAAAACTAACTATACTATACCATACTTAATTAGTCACCAACATGAACCAGACACGAAAAACGCCCTTCCAAATTTACAATGGGATGTCAAGTATAGTTAGTTAGTGTGGTGGTGCCATCAAAATATTAAAATATTAACTACTGTATTAAATGGATAAAAAATGAAGATAAAATATTAATATGACTATTGCGTACTTTACAAAATATGGTAGATTACCTTACTGCATACAATATTTTCGGTGCTTGGTACGAATTAATATTATACTTAAATAACAGGCTCCATCTCTTTTTGAAAACCCATTCGGTTAATATTCTAATCGTGACGAATAATCGCCATCTTTTTAGTAAACACAAACAAAATTTGTATATTCAAATTTGTTTATTGTAAATTTAAAACTCCCATGCTATTCTTATGAATTAGTTAACTGTTGCAGTTTGCTTGTTTATAGGTATATTTTGATCAAACTTGGAAAATGTGTTATTTTATAGTAAGGTATTGATATTTTACTTTTAAAAAAAACACACTATAATAACCTACCTGTAACAGCAAACCTAGGTACCTGTTGAACCTAATTTTATTTATATACATTTTTTTAATAAAACATCCAATCAAATGGAAATTTGCTGAGTCTGCAGGTTTGCTGTGGCGGAGTTGTTTTACTCATAAAATAAGCTTAAAAGATTTTATAGTACAGTCCAACCTCAATATAACGAATCTGAAGGGACCGAACTGAATATTCGTTATATCAAGGATTTCGTTAAAAAGAGGTTCGTTATATAGAGGTTATGTTTGCAGGAATTTCGCTAAGTCGAGGTTCAGAACCATCAGCGTCGGTCAATATAGGTCGGGATTAGACATCATTAAAACACAATTAAAGTAGCATAGAGGCTACAATACTTTACAGTACAGTGTTTACATTGTACAGTTGAACCTCTATAAGACGAATTTCAAGGGGTACGGGAAAAATTCGTATTATAGAGGTATTCTTAATAAAGAGGGTCGTTTTATCGAGGTTTAATGCTGTTGTTATTCTTCTTATAGAGGTTTCTCCTCGCTCCAAGGTTTTTCCAAACAATGACTGAGGAAGGAGGAGGAATGGGTGGGGGTTTCATGTTGAGACATGCTTCTGTTTGTTTTGAAAACTACGTACTATGGAGGTTAAGATTTTGATAAATTCGTCTTATAGAGGTCACGTTCGTCTTGTAGAGGTTTTGTGCTAAGAATATTCGTTGTATAGAGGTTAATCAGTCCTAGCCCATGTCACAAACAAATTCGTATTATGGAGGTTTTTAACTTAATTACTACGTTGTATAGAGGTGTTTTTAGCATTGACCTATATGAAAGTGTCAAGGGGATTAAAAAAAAATCGTCTTATCGAGGAATTCGTTTTATCGAGGTTCGTACAAACGAGGTTCAACTGTACAGTAGAACCTAAATTATCCGGCATAATAAAGGGGAGGGATCTTGAATATTGCGCAATCATGACAATGGCATTGACCTTGGTACAGGTTAAAAGCTGTAAGTTTAAAATCACAGCTTGTTCTAACCCTCCTAAAACCTAGCCAAACTCTGTATTGCGTAGTCATAAACCATGTAAAGAAAAAAACAAAACAGTAGTAGAAAGTTTTGTAAGCTACTGCTCGTGATAGGCCGGTAGGCTACTTACAGTAAGGTACTGATTCATCACAACAGAGGAATGTCAATAATAATCATTAACTATAGCATTGGTGTTGCTAGTTGAAACAAATCGTATTACATTTACAAACCATAAATTATTAGATAAGTCATTATAAAAGTGTATAATCATAGCCAGCCAACTTAAAGAGAATAAAAACACTCGAAAAAGGAATGTTAAAATAACGATGTTGCTATTCTTTATCTTTGGTTTTGTTTTTATATTCTTTCTTAGGTTTCTCTTTATCCAAAAATTTTACAATTTACCATAGTTACTTATCGCCCAATCACAGCTTACTAAACATTACGTCGTCATCAGTCCTCAGTGAATGAAATCAGTTCTCAGTTGCAACATAGCGCGCAGCGACAGCAGACAGAGATGGGTAAAACGGAGCAGACGAATGTTAGCGCAAAAGATGACGTCACCTTTCTATTTCATTTGATAAAGAAACAGATTTTTCACAAACAATAATGGGGTGGGAGATTTGTTATATCGAGGGAACGACGTAGACAATTCGTTATGCAGAGGTTAAATTCGCAATGTAGAGGTTCTGACAATGATAAATTCGCTATATTGAGGTGTCTTATTTTAGCCGAAATCATGAAAAATTCGTTAAATCAAGGTCGTTGTTATGGTTTGTTCGTTATGTAGAGGTAAAATATTCATTGTGTCTTATGGAGAGTTCTAGGGGATTAAAAAAAATTCGTTATATCAAGGAATTCGTTGTATCGAGGTTCGTTATATCAAGGTTAGACTGTATCACAATATTTAACTAAATGGGATAAATTATCATAATCCTTTAAAGTAACGGTCAATTTCCATGTGTTTCACCTATTTTTGATAAATAGAAAAAACTAAATATACTTAATAACAAATAACTCTAAAACCGTTGGTTTTAGAGAAAGATGGTAAATACAAAAAATGTGTATTTTTAGATGACCTACATTTTGTACATTTAGCTTTTTCCTGTATCTCTAATAATAAAGTCACTATAGCGAAAAATACAGAAATATGCCGCCATTTTCCAATATGGCGGCCGTAGCACAGCTTCAATTTTAGGGGACTTTTAGTATGTTCAAAAGGAAGGTACACCCAACATCTGTACCAAATTCCCCGGTTGTGCTAATTTTTTTTGGGTCAAAACATATTTTTACTGTACTAATAGTGAAGTAGTTCTTAAGAATGTCTTTCAAATTGAGTATGTCAAGTTAAGTGTAAGTGTAAGGTTAAGTTTTCAGCCATTTTGTTGAGTTAACATAATAAATAGCTGTAACTAACAGCTTTTGTGGTTTGCTATGTCACTCATGATGGCCAAAATACCAGCCTTAGGGGCGTAGAGGTTTGAATAATGTTTGCTATATTTATCAATTATCATAATAACTGAATTTGACAACAAAATAGCAATATTTTTAAGCCTACTCAATATGTTTTACAATATTTTACTAAACATGATCTTGATTGTTTCCAGAGTCTGGACTATGACGAGTGTGAGAATGATTTGTTGGTGAACGAGGCACAGCGGAAAGGTTACCCGTGGGAGATCAGGAAGAAAATCTCACGATGGTTCATCTGCCTGATAGTCGGTCTGCTCACAGCTCTCATTGGAGTAGGGATAGACATCTCCATACAATATCTGGCAAAGATCAAATACACCAAGCTGAAAGAATGTATCCTTTACAACATGACATTAAAGATGCTACAAAGTTTATTTAAAATATAACCCTACAAAAGGCTTTACTCGCTAACTTTTCACTAATAACTTCACAACTTCAATGATATTATTTATTAGTGATTTTTCATTAGATTTTTCTGATCTAAGGTATTTACTAAGTTTTTACAAAAAATATTTAACCATTTATTTATTGGTTAACCAACATCACTGATATACATCTCTTTACTCACTGATTTGTTTTTCTGTTCACTAATCTTGGGTACCTGCTTAGCGTAATTTTTTTTCATCATAAAAAATGTTGATCTTATATTTGAGTTAACAAATGCCCAGTTTGGCCCCATCCGAAAACAGTAATTATCAGACAGGGTCTACCAAAACTACTAAATAGCTAACAAAACTGAGCTCACGATTTACCTATTTTGTTTATTTTGTTTTCATGCTGATGTCACTGCTATGATTTTGCAAACAACTTGCCTGGTTTATCAGCCAATTAATTTGTTCACAAACTACTTCACTACTATGTGGACTCAATGATCTGTAAATAAACAGCTCCACTGGTTTATCAACACATGGATTTGTTCACTAATTTGTTTTTGTTTACTAAAATCATTGACTACCGTATTGGATGGTGAAATATCAATAGTCAAAGCAGTAGTGTCCATACTCATTGAACTTTCCATGAAAAATCTCATTGTTCTTACCAAAATACCTTCTCTGATCAATCAAACAGTCAATGTTTATAATAACAAATTCACTTTAATAGATTCTTTCACTTGCCCAATGTGAGTTGCTCAGTCCATAAGCAGTATACATTATACAAATCTTCAATAAACTGTTAAAACAATATCTTTAGAAGTAATTGCATTTTGTAGTAGATTGATTATATAAGTATTGAACAAACCAGGCTATGTTGAATAGCACATCAATTAGATTAAGTTTTTTACACTGATTTCACTCCATATTTCCTTAACCATGTACAGACCTAGACGCCTGCTCAGATGTGGATTGCATGTACACTCCGTACTTGTTCTGGCTCGCTTCAAACCTAGTAGCTGTGCTGCCCGGAGCTGTCCTCGTTGCTTACGTGGAGGTAACATAGATCAGTAGAATTATTTACTGTAGGTAAACTACATTTAAGTTCACATTCTGTTCCCTCAAAAAATAATTAAGTTTGTTAGAAATATTACCAGAATACTGCATGTATACAATTAAATTATCCCTTGGCCACAGAACAGGCGCACTATGGTTAGTTCCAAAAACAACAGTGTTTCCTCATTAGACCACTCTATACTTTGTACAATTTATCTCTAATTTAGATCTAATTGTAAACATTAAATAGCACCAATTAAAAGTAAATTTAACTACACAACCACGGCAGTAATTACTGTAGACAGAGAGCGTCCACTACGAATGATAGCGAGTGTATACTGGCTATGTTTGTACCCGTCATTCGTCCTAGTTCGTCTCCTTTGATCCGTGACGGGAGACCACCAAAAAAGCAAGTACACCCGAACACAAATGTTGGCAATGCGAACTACCCCAAATGTACACGATCACACTATTGGGCTCGTCTTCGTTCGCCTACATACAACAAGAGTGTACTACAGGCATAACAAGTCCTACACAGATCATCTCAATTGTATCTACACTGATCCTTCACTAATGTTTTGGTTGAAATATGCACCTAGGTGCTGTCCCCATCTCAATCGATAAATATAATAATAAAGCACGTATTAAGTTAATAAAAATGATTTCTTGATTGTTGAAACTCTAGTAATTACATTTTCTATGAAATAACTAATTTTAATCTCAATTACTCATAGTTTGAGTTTTACTCTCAGTAAACTTCACTAATTAGAATGTGACATTTGCAAATATTAGATAATAATCGGGTTTGGATTGATTTATTCAAGCCTGTTTTCAACAAAACACAAACTGAAAGGTGATTGATTGGTGAATGATTAACATCGATTGATGTAGGCTAAAATTTTTAATGCTAAAATGGCACCAAGCTTGAAGGACAAGTTGCCTTGAATGAAACATGATTGACAAAATGTTGTTATTTTTATAGATTTCATCTGTCATAATTTAAGTGGCATGCACTTGAAATCTGAATGGCAGGAAAATACAGTTTAATGTAAAGTGGTTTAAACCAGTTAAAACTGACTCTGTACCACAATGTATGATGAATTTAAAAACCTCACCAACTTTTTTGTGAACTTTGACAAAAAATTACCTAGGCCTACATTAGATTGTTTTTGTATTAGCAAATTTCCCATATAGGGAATAAGCTATTACCATAGGTCTCTTAGTAAGACCTGGACCCGGGACCAATTTACTTTTTCACTGGGATGTCTCCAGAGGCCAAAAACACCATCCGCTCAAATTCATATATATATACATTATATTCTACTAATACGTATTATAAGTGAGAAAGTGGATGTATGGATGGATGGATGTTTGTCAAGTAAACGCCAAAAATACTTGTCGGATTGGGCTGAAATTTAGAGTGATGATAGCTCACATTCGCGATTTAACATATAGACGCATTCTTATTTAAAAAATCCTTTCAGGCTCCGCTCCAGTGGCTCTGGAGTTTCCTATGAGTATTCATATTTAAAAGGAACTATCCGCTATACCCGTGCCTTGCAACGGGGTCAAGATTCAGAAGAGACAATTTTGGTTCCTTGAAAATAATGGCAAGCAGCTTGAGAACGCTAAAGAGAACAATTGTTGTTCCCTAGGTCTGCTGTATGTAGAAAGACTTTTATTAGATGGTAAGTGGTGATCGATTTCGATTGGACACTCCAATCATCATCAGACCCAATAGGCGAATGACTCGTATATGTCTTGTACAGTAAGTTACGTGGCTATTTTCCTCAAGGCACCACATCTTCACAGTAGGGTCTCCTTCTCCAGTAAAGCCTTGATTTTGTTTTGGCTCAATATTTGTCATTAAAATTATAATTGTTCATATTCAAACACTTTTAAATTGTGAACAGGGATATTTCAAAACAAAATCTCTCAATTAACTGTTTTTATATACTTCTGTTTGACAGCCGATAGCAATGGGCAGTGGTATTCCTCACGTCAAGTGCTATCTCAATGGTATTAAGATGCCTCACATTGTCCGTCTACGAACACTTGTTGTCAAAGTGGTGGGGGTTGTGTCAGCCGTTGTCGGAGGCTTGGCTTGTGGAAAGGTAATGTATTCTGAGAGAAAAATCATGTTTGCATAGGGGTTGGATGTAAGTAATTTAATATTTTTAATGGTTTGAGGAATTTTTTGAATTTAAATTGTACTATTTTTAAGTAGTAATATTTGAATCTTTAAGCAAGCAAATTGAATGTTTATTCCCTGTGCTAGTGAACAAGCAAGGCCTCACTAGAAAAACAGGTCATGCTGCAGGATCGATGACGTCACACTTGTGGATAGAATAACTGCCATATACCATGTTTTAGATAATAAGCTGGCTGTTTGTCAGATTTTAAAGGTAAGATTTTAATACAACTATCCACCACTGTGACCTAGTGTTGCGCTGCAGCCTGTTTTTCTAGTGGGGCCTCAGAACAAGCCTGTGAAGTTGCAGTGAGATGGTTTGTTTTTTTAAGAGGTTGGCGGCCTCTTTTAACCTTGCATTTGCCCGTCCACATAGACTTAGCCGCCGGGCATGGATCGTTTACAGCAAAGCAAGGAGTGAGCCGGTACAGTACAAAGGTGAACTGTACTGATAAAATGTTATCGGCAGTGACCAGGATCCGAACCCACGACATCGCTGCCTTGGGCCCGAAGTCCACAACGCTACCGTCTGAGCCACCGACTCACTAAAGTTGTAGTTATAAGTAAAAACCCAGTTGTGTAGTTCCTTGAGGTCGAGGTTGTCCTTATGGTTTGTATAAGACACAGAATAAATAAACTCACTAAAAAACATTTTTGCACTTCAAACAATTAATTTGGCCAAGTACGAATGACACCGATGGTCGAACCAGCAGCAGTTGGGTAACTTGGTATAGCCAAACTCTTATGACGACACCAATTTGAAGAAACAACACAATTGAGGATTTTCTAACCTAATTATGTAAACACAAGGGGACCCAAGCCAAAATTGCGCATTTTATAGGGTAAAAATAAAATTGTTTTCAAGGCTAAACGAATAATGCATTACCCTTTTAGCTATCAGTGTTTAAATAACTAAAAAGTCCCATATACACAAATTAAAAATCTATATTCACCTAAATAAAAAACATCAATAGTTTACTTATATTCATTATTATATTGCATAGCATATTATAGTACTAAATTAGTTATACACGTTCCCTACTTTATCAATTTTAACATTCCATGGATGTTGCAGGAAGGCCCAATGATCCACTCAGGCGCTGTGGTGGCTGCTGGGATTTCTCAAGGGAAAAGTTACTTTTTGAAGTTCCTCAACATGCATTCCTTCGCCAAGTTCCGCGATGACAGGGAGAAGAGAGACTTTGTGTCAGGAGGAGCTGCGGCTGGGGTGGCAGCGGCTTTTGGGGCTCCAGTTGGTGAGGGCGTGTGATATTTTAAACTTTATAGCACTAGGTCTACACAATGCCACATATTTTCCACAGAATATGAACTAAGAAAATTGTTATTGAACAGCAACTGGAATTGTAAAAAGTCTTTAATAGCTGTTACAAAATACAGGTGAAATAGCCGTTTTATATTTTATTTCATTGTTTTATTTTAGCCTGTTTGACTTAAAATATTCAATTAAAAATTATTGCTGGAATTATTGATTTCCCATCTCTTATGTTTTTTTTTTATTTATCTTTTTTGTGCTCTTAAAATGGAGTTGTCCTGATTTTAAAAGTATTTTGAGCTAGATTCAGTTTGTATTTTCCAACTTTCAAATAGAAAACTCAAGACCCTATCCTCATTAACCTGCTTACATAGCTGTGAGAGGTTTTAGTGTTAGCATTGACTTTATATCTACACTTGGAGATATAAAGTCTTTAGGCTTTTTTAAGCTAAGACACCTTCATCCTCCATCCTCACTAATCTTTTATTCGCTCAGGTGCATCTCCACCCTAATTGGTAATAATAATAACAATTAGTTTTTATTAAAATATTCATTCACTAAACGATTTAACCTTCCTGTTACAGGAGGTGTCTTGTTTGCTCTGGAGGAAGGAGCCAGTTTCTGGAACCAAGGTCTAACCTGGAGAATCTTCTTTGCGTCCAGTGTCTCGGCGTTTACTCTAAATGCTTGCATGAGCTGGTACGAAGACCATCCTGGTTAGTTGGGGTTGAAATCGTTGATTCTCTTTTCAAAATAGAATTAACAGATTTTTATGATAAATAAGTTATTCAATTTTAGATGAACATCTAGGACAAGTGTGTCTTTGAGGAATACAAATGTAGAGAAATAGCAGAAGAGTATGTTGAACATTTTCAACGTATCTGTCGGGTGAAAGGGTTGGGGGGTTCAGATGACCTTAAGGAAGCAAGAAAATACCTACTACTGGCTTATGTGGGAAGTGAACGACTCCAGAAGATGCAAAATTATTTCCGAAGACCCTTGATTCTGCATTATGAAGAAATTTAGACAGTATTCAGAATATTTAAAATTCATCCCTAAAGAGACCAGATTGTCACATGATACAATCAAATAAACGTCAAATTTAATTAACAGTTAAATTTTCATGTGATAAAAGTATTGTTAAAAACTGTAAACGCGATTCTAGAATTTCAAATTTGAATATTAATCTTGTTTTACAGGCAACATGTCATATGACGGTCTGTTAAACTTTGGCAGTTTCGATGACCTCAACTATCACATGCCAGAGCTGATTATATTTGTTGTGATGGGAGCGATCGGTGGACTTCTAGGAGCTTTCTACAACTTTGCTAACCACAAACTGACAGTTTTTAGGATGAGGTGAGTTTTTTAATTTTCCCTTCTAGTACAGTAAGTTACAACATGAAACGTTATTGATTTTATAAAACCTATTTATACATCAAACCTTAAGCCTTTAAGCTTTCAGGCTTAAGTATCAAGAGTAACATAAACACCCTTATATACAACACTTCCCTTACACACTTATCGATCTGACTCGTGCAGCGTTGAAAGAGTTATTAAGTTTCAAACTTCCGTACTCAATTTAAGTTAAGGTTTACCAGTAATGGAAGTGTGATAGACTGCTAGATTTAATCAATGGTTGCCATCCATAGCTTAGAGACAACAAAATAGATCGTGGGTTTTTAATTATATATCGGTCAAGTCTGGTGTAAAAGAAAACGCTATTTATGGGGATTTCACAGTCTGAGCTTTGTGAGAGAGACCGACCTAAAATAAGTAAACAGCTTGAGTGGAAGAGGACAAAATTAATGAATTATTTGAGAGTTTAATTTTAAATCATGACCTTGGCTAGTTTTTACCCATCCTCACATCACTTTTTGATAGGTACATCAGAAGCAGATGGTTAAAGGTATTGGAGGTGCTTTTGGTGTCTGGAGTCAGTTGCACTTTGGCAATATTCATGGTGTATGGAATGGAACAATGTGTCGATATCGGGGACAACCCCACACCATACCCTATACAGGTTAGTTTCACAAATAAAAGCAATTGTTGCCTCGAAGTCTTAAGCCACAAGTAAAACTCGACCTCAAAATCTTTAGATGGTGTGGTTGGTTATATATATATATATATATATATATATTATTTACAAGATCAGTATTGAAAATCTGCTATTAAAGAAAAGTGGTTTTGTGTTATTTGAGTTAATTCTGTTGATTTTACCTCCTAAGTAAAGATTCAAAATCTATAGTTAAATGTATGCAAAGGCTTTTGAAGAATTTCTTGATTTATAGATCTGGATTCTTTATCATGGGAAAAACACTTTTTTTCGGCATCACCAATCTGGTTTAGCTAAAAAGTTTAAGTGCATATTTTTACCCAAAAATGAGTAAAGGATGAATGTAGAATGTTTGTGAAATGCACTGACTAAGATCAGCTAAGCCAGTGGCATTTATTAACTTTTTTGTAAGGGTACGGTCGAAACCATGGTGTTGTTACTATCTGACATCCATCATTAATTGACGGCCCAATGACAACTGGCATCTGGGCCTGGTAACGATCTTGCTTACCCAGATAATTGTTTCATTCGTCTTCCCTGTGTAACAAATCAAAAAGTTATCACAGCTTTGTTTGGTTCCTTTACTCTGATGATTATTGTTTTTACAGATGCATTGTGATGATGGTGAATACAATTCACTTGCATCATTGTGGATTCAACTTCCAGAAACTACAGTGCGATCTTTCTTCCATGACAGCAGTGGTAAGTTGTACTATTTGATAGCTTCAAATCCATTGATGATACTAGTAACATAGGAGTGCAGTTGTTTCTCAGTTTATGTGTTTAGTTACTCAATCAGCGATGAATTTGAAATAGGATTTTAACGAGTTTCATTACTGTAATAAATGCACTGAAATAAAACCTGTAATCCAAAAGAGCTTTACAAGCAATAGATCTTGTAGACTGCAGACCATTTCTTTCCTTGTGCTGATATCAGTATTGCATTATAATAATTTGCAGCTAAAAGACAGCAAAAACACTTATGTTTTCTTCCCTGTCCTGTACAAAAACCTTTTTATAGACATGGCATTCTGATCTCAACAATTCCCAATCCTAACTGAATTCAATGTGTCTCAGGTACCCATGCTATCGGCACACTGTTGCCGTTTGTCATTGTGTACTACTTTGTCTCCATTTGGACGTACGGCATCAGTGTCTCGGCTGGTCTGTTCATCCCCTGTTTGCTTGTTGGTGGAGCGTGGGGTCGCATGATTGGCATTGGACTCCAAGCTAACTTTCCTTATGCGGTCAGTAATCTGATTTCTTTATTGATTCATTCCAAACAAATTATTACATTCCATACATATTTGTAAAGTGGTTAACCTCTTATCTTTTTGGATAGGCCTTTACATATCTATTCTTTCCACCATCTCCAATAGCATTCTCTCATCCCCATTTTCCCTTTCTCCTCATTTTTCTACTTTACAGTGTGTCTTCCCCTTGAACAATCTCATTTCTCAGGAACAGTGCAAATCCTAGGCTTGTTACAATCACTATGATCACTTTGTTGTTACAGCCTATACTAGCCAATCCTGGCAAGTACGCTCTGATAGGCGCCGCAGCACAGCTGGGTGGTGTGGTGCGTATGACTATCAGTCTCACAGTCATCCTGATAGAAGCTACTGGCAGCATCATCTTTGGTCTGCCTCTTATGATCACATTGCTCACGGCTAAGTGGGTCGGTGATTTCTTCAATGAGGTAAAAATAATTTCTCGTACATATCCTTTTAGTATTTCCCAAGTCTAAACGTCCTGGGTGTTTTCTATGTATGTGATGCAAATATCATGCTCCTGTCTCTGATTGTGGGAAAACTAAAGTCAAAAAGTAATTTGTGCACCATTGTATTCATATAAAATTGGAATCTCCCTGGATATTCTGGCCAAAAGAGTGTAACAATCATGAGACACTTCATATGGTGACTCATTCCACAAGTGACATACTAGTGGTGGCTAAACAACTCATTTGGCAAAATTTCTAATTTCATGATGCAACTAGATCATATAATATACCATTAGTTTGTACAAGATCATTTCAATTGCCGCAGGGTCTCTACGATCTACACATCCAACTGTCCGGAGTTCCTCTCCTGGCTTGGGACCCACCTCCACTCTCCTTCATCTTGAATGCTCGAGAATTCATGAGCAGTCCTGTGACGACTTTACAGCCGGTCGAGTCTGTGCGCAGGATCGTTCACATCCTTCGCACTAAGACCTACAACGGATTCCCAGTTGTTGATCCGTGTGTATCTTCTGCAGTGAGTATAAAAAATTGTACCATTGATTATGAATATTGTTAGGAGTTCTTCCTAAAGGAAAATCTGAATCCTGTTTTTATGAGTGTTTTATGTTTCCTGTTAGTGATGTTTGTGCTTTGCTTTTTGGCTATACCACCAGAAGATGTATAGTAGGTTTTAATGCTGGTTAATGAAACAATGATACACCTACATATATCAGGCAGAACTAAACTTAAAATTGTCTTCAGTTAATCAGTATATAACATCGATCTCTATTATTACTACAGCTGGATCGTGTGCTGTGTGCTGGGTTTTTGGTCCGACCGCTCGCCACTCCCCCACCTACCCTCCTTAGCTATGTTTGCATCGTATGGATGGGGGCTTGTTACACATCCCATTTATATCTTTTTCTCTTTTTCTCTCTGTCTTTGTATCTATTTATCTGTCTACTTTGTATTCCCTCCTTCTCCTGTCACAGTGTTTATCTCCTGTACACATACACTCTGTCTGTTTCCATCATGCTTTGTTAGACTTACCCCATATTGTCGGTCAGTTGTCCCGGATCCGACCACTTTCTAATGTAGCCTAGTTTTTATCTTTACATTGCAGCATCACGGGCCCAAGTGTTCACTCAGCTCTTTCCTCTTTATATTATCTAGCCTACTAATTGATCTCACTATTTTCTGACCGTTTGTTGCCCTTTACTCTTAAAGGTGATAGGAGGTGAATTGCAAGAACGTTTGATTCCGGTTCCGTACAGCAAGAGCTCCACTGACCAAGCTGTAAGCGCTTTCCTACCATCTCTCTTTTCTTGTCCGCTCGCTCGATTGCTCGTTTTTATTTTTTTTAAGGCTGTTCTTACTGTAATAAGAATTCCTTTGTTAAATTCTTTGCAATATTATACAATGTCAATTTTCTCTTTGCTTTATTTTCTTCTTTCCCCTTGTAATGTTTTGGTTATACTTTCATATGTTTCTCAAAAGATATTACGGAAAGTGGTTAAATATTCCTTAACCATAAGTTTATTTGCGATCTTGCTACGTGAGGGAACAGCCTTAATGTTATCGATTGGCCAAGCCTGTGTCTCTCTGAGGGACCGGGCTTGCCCAGTTTCCTTAGATCTTTTCAGCTTTTTAGGCTTATCTAACTGCGAATCACGTGATTTCAATGCAAGTGTAAGAACAAAGAGACACGTTGAAGTTACTATGATCCCGTATTGGAATAGGGAAGGAGCAACGCCATAAGACGTAATGAGTAAGAGAGAGACAGTATATACCTTACGTGGTGGGGGGAGCGGCGGACCGATACGTGTGTATCTCTGAGCAGTACAGCATGCGATCCAGTTGTAATAATAGAGATCGATGGTATATAAGGATGATAAATCTGTAAGTAAGTTTGTTTAATTCATGGTTGTAATGTGTACTTTACCAACCATTGTTGTGTTGCCACTGTACTTATTAATCCTCACTTTTTTTAGAAAGAGAGGTTATTTAGATAAAGCAATGTTTTAGGTCAGTCTGTTTTGTAACCACCAATCAAACAAGACTTACTCCTAAAACCTCTTTTTTACAACCTCGCTGCAGCCGGTCAATTAGATGGTGTGTCAACTACGGTACCCAAAAGTCAATGATGATTACTAGCAGTTCAAAAATGTTTACAGGACTCTGTGAGGTCGTTTGGACGTCTGAAAGGGTTGATCTTGCGGTCCCAGCTGATCGTAATGCTGCAAAACAAGATCTTCAATGTCAACACTGACGGATGGGACAACAGCAGAATCAATATGAGCATGTTCCGCAAACTCTATCCAAGGTTTCCCACCATTGAGGTAAGTCTCCTTATATGTAATATGTTAAGCAATAACATAAGTGTTTAGAGCGCAGGGCTTCAGTCCCCGAGGTTTGTTCCGGGTTCAAATCCCGCCAAATCACCAATGGATTTTATCTAAGTGATTTTGCCGCAACCCCTATGTCTAGCCTGAAGAAATGTGAAAAAAACAATCCCGGGCTAGTGCCTAACGTCCTACCTAGGACAACTACAACAAAATAAATGTGTTAGCAATAAACTACAACGCATTGCATTTAATTTTCAACTAGGGAATGATATGGAGTTTCTTTTAATCTACTTCCTTTTTTAAGAAACCTTGGATATCAAACTTAAACCTGAATAGAAAAAGAGCCTGGCACAAGAAACACAAATAAAAGGTTGACGCCAAACAGAATAGTTGCATTTCACTGTCACTAACAGCGTCCAAAAGTTAAGTTTTGTAAGAAAGATTTTACATGCTATCTTCCTTCACAGATCTGACTTCCTTACCTAACTTTAACCTTTATTAGTTAAAAATCCTCTATATTACAGAGAAATATTAAATCCACATAACTGCTCTCAGTTAGGACGGTTTTTAATTTTAATTGTCATAATAAACACAATTCTTTTTCAATGACCAATGAATAAGTAGTTAATCCTAACTTAATATAACAAGAATAAATTATAATGTTCTAGGATTAAAATATCAGGAAGTGGAAACACAAAAATATATATTATTGATGTTTTCAGGATATTGCGTTAACTGATGAGGAAATGAACAGAAGTTTAGATCTAAGGCCTTTCATGAATCCATCCCCCTACTGTGTTCAAATGGTGAGTATTATCATTAAATTTGTGATACTGAAGTAGAAATTCTAACATTCCACCAGTATTTTTTGTATTTTTTAATTTTTATTTTAAGAGTTTATGCTATAGTTGAAGGTGTACTCTACTACTGAACATAAGAGTGTACTAACTAATATCAAAGTGTTATTTTCTCAAGATTTTCACACAATGAAAATTGACAGGATTAACAACAACACATTAACAATCTTAGTTGGCGTTTAAGGTTTTAAACAGTATTTTATAGTCCATACAGAAACTGAAGAATTAATGTAAGAATTGAATGTTCACTTCAAGGTACTGTATGTATAGTCAAAGAAATTATCCTACGTGCATTTATCTTCTTTCGTTACATATAATACAAAAAAAGGTACGGTAACATTTGTATACTTGAAACAACAGGGCCAAAACTAAGAAATCATATCTGTGTTTAGAGTGGAAGTTTAGTTTCATTAATCTAGTGTCCACTTTAGAGCTTGAAGAGGTAATTAACTGTAACGTTTTTTATTTATAAAAGCTGTATGCCTGTATTTTTCTCCAGATCTCATCCATGCAGAGAGTGTTCCGATTGTTCCGAGCTCTTGGACTAAGACATGTTGTCGTTACAAATGAGACCAATGAGGTAAGGAATAACGTATAAACGAATATAATTACTCGGGAGTCGGAAACATATTCGATTGTTTAATTTTAAATCCTAGGGAACTATAGTACAAGCATTGACTATATAACACTACTATAGTCAATGGTACAAGACTGTTAATAAACAGGGGTAGTTAATTAAGCAGATTTGTTCAATAGTAAATTTTTCTGAGGTAGTGGCTGTCACCAACCACGTCTTTAGGGTTATAAGTCCCTAATTCCAAAAGTTAGTCAAAATCCTTCAGCTGTTTTTCGAGATATATATTACAGACAGACAGACATAGCTTGTATTAAACTATAGGATTTGTCAAGATGATTAATCACAATTTGTTTTCAGGTCGTTGGCATTGTTACGAGAAAGGATTTGACCAAGTACAGAGTTTGGAAGCATTTTGGTCAATGTGGTGTCAAAGAATTAAAAATCGTCTGAAAATTAAAACACAAAAAAATAGGTTTAAATGAATCAAAGATGTCTTTGATGTTTACAATAGAAAAATGTAAATAGCATGTACAGTCATAAGGATGTATGTTTTAAAAATGTGTAATATTAAGTACAGTTTTAAATATTGATAAGTGTTGACGTAACTGTTACAATGGGCGAATTCTGGGAACATGTACCGGTGAAGATGAACCGGTGACTTACTCACCGGTACCGACCCGGGGTAAGAGTCTCCCCAAGGCAAGGTCTTATAAATTTACTTTATAATATTTAAATCAAACAAACTAACCCACACAGAATAAATTACTTGAAAATTATTCACTTATTACGTAATTTAACCCCCTCAGAGAATGAATTATTCACTCATTACGTAATAAAACCTATCAAACTGATGGACATTATTCGATGGACCCGCCATCTTGCCATAGCTGCTGGAGTTGTATACTGTTGTCCAAGGAACTGTCCAATCAGAGGCCGCCGGTGTATTATGTATTGGAAATAATTAATCCTTTGTGGAGGAAAAAGAGGAAATAGCTGTCTGCTAGGTTAACTCACTGGTCCCCCAGAACGACACATTTTATGCACCGGTCAGTGTTCCCAGAACGCACTCAATGACTTTGGATTCTGCAATTTAAATTCTCATTCTATTGTGAAATCTGAAGCCTGTTTTGAAGTGTTACATTTTAGTTGTGTTATGCCAGAAAAATGTGTTTGTTTTTTAGGTTTGAATATATTTGTGCTTTACTCTTTGGTAATTCGTAATACCAGAGGGTAGGAGTTTAAACATATTGTTCAACCTGTTTAAAATATTATTGAAGTAAACGAGAAGAAAATAGTAAACAAACAACAAAACGTACTCTTAGAGACATTTTAAATAGTTTTCACCTAATCCAATACTATGAAAAATCTATACTTTTTTTAGTTTCCTAGCATTCAGTGATGAAAATCACGCTTATAACAGGTGGTCCATAATAACCGCTAACATTTTGTTTTGTGGCAGCTCAGCTAATTCATGGGCCAGAGAGATGGTTTTTGTTTGAAAAGTTGAATATTTTGAACAACTTATAATTACAACAAATGCTATTAATTAAGGAATCATGCAACACAAGAATCGTCTCTCTAACCCATGAATTAGCTGAGCTGTCACAAAACAAAATGTTAGCAGTTATTATGGACCATCCGTTATAATGGATAGAGCTTACAACTACAATTGCTGTATAACTAAAACTTATATAAAATAAACTTAATTTTTAAAAAAGTGTGTGATAAGTTTATTTTGAAAATGATTAAGCCGTTTGGCAATATTATGAAGAAACAATGTTAAAAGTTAAAACTTATATAAATTACACTTACTATCTCTTTTCTTCTAGAAAAGAAGATTTGTGCCATTGTAATTTGTTTTAAAATAATAACTAGATTTATAAAAATACTACCTAGATCCTGAGTACAAATAAATTCCGGTCTAAGCTGTTAGAGATAAGTAGCCCATAGTCATTCATTTTGTTATGTCTAGCTATATTGTACATATGTGTACATACTTTGTAAATATGTTTTCTTACAAAATGTTTTTCATTTATTTACCTTGAATGTGTCTATTTCTATATGGAAACTAGCTGTAACCCGCGGGCTTTGCCCCGTTTAAAAGATGATCTCGTTCGCATGGCTCAATCAAGTCCTGGTTGAAGTTCGTTCGCTATGCTCACTCACCTTTTGGTTGCAAATTAGCTGTTGTCATAAATGTAAAAGAAATAATAGTGCTGCACCCTGTTGGTAATCCTTGTAACTTTAATGCTATTGAACATCATAGAACAGAACCAACTTGTTTAATTGAAACTGCTGTTAAGATTCATTAATTCCATTTCTCATAAGGTTAACATGGGAAACTCCAGAGCCACTGGGGCGGAGCCGATTGGACGGATCACGAAATTGATGGTGTATAAACCTATTCCATGAAATTCTACACGTATGTACCAAGTTTCGTGGCAATCGGTTCAGCGGTGTCTGAGTTTATCACTGCCAAATATATATATATATATATATATATATATATACAAACATCCTCTTTTATACTTATAGATTTAAAGATGCACATGGCAAAATTTTATTTCAAAATGGAATTAAAATTTTGGAGGAAAGGTTGCCAACATCTGTCCCAGTTTACATGTTTAGAAAGCCCTCCCTCACAAATGTAAAACAAAATAATATCCATTGAATACAGAAATACATCCCCTCCCTATATCATAAGCTCAGTACCAATATTTTGAAAAAGTACTGACCAACAAAAAAAAATACACCCCAAGGAAAACCATGGGTAAATTGTAAGATTTTCAGTATTGTTTACTTCATTGGAAAGTTTAATACATATTTGTACCTGGGATGGGTTTATTTTACACCTAAGGTCTTTACTCAGCCTTACTAAAATGTAAATGACATATTACATTGTATTTCTTTAAGCTAGTGTCAGTTTTAGGTAGGCTATAATTACACTTTTTATTATGAATGTATATCAATATCAAGAATCAATTTAATTAATTCATGACCAGAATCAAGACAAATTTGAATCCACCAATTCCCTAGTTTGTACAATAGAAACAAATCAAATCCGCAACAGGTAAAAACACACATGAATCAATTAACTTAACTTTTATTTTCTAAAACAATTTTCAACAACAGTAGTGCTATGAAGCCAGAACTTTGGTATTAATAAATCACTACAATGAACATGTGTTGACAAAAATTTTAACTAAATGCAAATTGAATCTCTGGATATATTGGGTAAACATAGAAAAGGAACTTAATATCTTAAGTCTAGGCCACTTTGAGGTTCTTGGACAGAGAGCAACTGAGGCCGGTGCCATCGGGCTCTACGTTGAGGTTAGTTACGACTCCGTTTTCGACCAGCATGGAGTACCGCTTGGATCTCAGTCCTCCTAGAGGTGGTAAGTCTGTGGTAAGGTCCAAGGCCTTGGTGAAAGCTCCTGCTGGGTCAGCCAGTAGCCGCACCTAGACGCAAAACATGTCAACTCAGGAAGAACTAAAAGGTTCGAAATTGTCTTTGTCACAGTAAAAAACCTTTTATTTGTCATTATTATTATGACATTTGTACATGTGGTATAGGGAATAGTCTCAACGATACGATTAAAGCAACCTTAAAACTAAAAATCTGAATATAGGCCTAATAAAATATTTAATACTTTAATCTGAACTGGCGACCATACGAATGAAGGCCTAGGTATTTTAAGCTAAGTATGAATGGAGATGGGGCGAACATGTATATGGAACCAAACTTGATATATGGAATAAAATAATCAAAGGTTGGTCGATAAGTCAATAAATGTCAACACAATGTCAAACAACAGTCAACTAATTCAATTACCTTACCTTACCTATGTGGCCAGTTAAACACCAAAAAGGTTGATTTAATTCATTTAACATTGATTGATACAACAAATTCAATTTTGTCAAATCATTATCTATTAATGATTGCTTTAAAGTTAAAAACTAATGGAACAAAAATTAAAATATACAATAAAAAAGCTTTTTTGCCTAATGATGTCGGAATGTTTAGTATATTTGTTCAAATAATTTAAGAAAATAGGCTACATAATGGTTTGAAAGCATTTATTAGGCCTGTATTTTTATATAATTTTTACCACTGAAATCTCAAAAATTCACATAAAAAATTAACAGTTTTTCAACATTTTAAATAGGCCTATGTAACTTTACTCAGTACATTGACAAATACAATTTTCAAAGGCTCTGTTCACTGAGCAGTCACCCTTTGCAACATACTCAAAAATGTTATAAAAAAAATAATAATAACTAAGTTAGCATAATAAAAATGAATCATTACAACAGTAATAATAAATCAAGTGGCAATTTGGGGAGTCTGTTGAATAAATAACTAAGTATAAACTGGAAATCTGAGATTTATGCATTAAAACATGGTAGACATACTAGTAAATCACACTGTCATTTAGAGAAAGTAGTAACGTATGTTCAAGACATCATTATATTACATCCACTCATTTTCCTTGAGAGATGTATGATGTATGGGTCCCATAACTCAAACTACCATCTATCTGCCCAAGTTCAAATTTATTGGATTTTTATTCATATTTCTGTACAAAACGTTGGGTCGTTGGCCAGCGTCATGAACTGTTGAAGGTAGCGTAGGAACTTCATAGGAACTAAAGGGGACAAAATTAATTGTTACAAAAATATGTTACCAGTAGGCTAATAAATATAAGTTATTGCCACATTACCTTTCCTTCAGTTTTCTGATCTTTTGCCCAAGCTGCCATGACAAACGGGTCGTTTACAGACACGCAGATGATCTCGGAGATACCTTTGGCCTTGAGGTTGTCAGCATCACTCACATATCCAGGCAGATGAGTCTGAAATTATTTCCATTCAAGATTTACATATTGTTGTTAGGTACTGCAATTGGTGTGTATTTAAAGTAAACCACAAGAGTTGTTAAATGTCCACCTAATTTTACTTTCTATTTTGAATACCTGCATTTCAATAATGTGTAATTACTTAGTAGCCTCTTGTTACATCAATTTTCTTGCCCTTTTTCAGATTAAATTTTATAGCATAACCACACATATACCTTTACACACTTTTATCAAAAATTCTATGTGCTGAGGTCCAAAAATAAGAAACCCACCCCTATCGCCTGATCATGCTAGTTTGCAAACCTGTTTGAGTGTAGGTTTACACGCTTGTACTAAATTTCATCGAAATCATTTATCAGTACTCGAGTTATCAAGTTAACGAACACATATACGGTATGAATTTGAGTTGTTTTTGGCTTAGGGGGACATCAAGACAAAAAAGTAAATCGGCCCCGGGTATATTTCAATAAGAAAATCAGAACGTTTCACTATTGCCTAACACAAGAAATCTCTTGCCTCATGCCAGAGAAAGAAAGAAAAAACCAACTCTATTATTTCAACTGTATTTGAAACAAAAGGCTAATCAACTCAGGATTTTATAGTAGGCCTATGATTAAAGCTACAAGTTATGGTAGCCTACTCTAATTAGCCTAGTTTCATATAAAAAAAATACCTGTGAACAGCCAGGTGTGAAAGCTCCAGGGACAGCAAACAGGACGACCTTCTTTCCCTCGCAGATTGTGGCAATGTTCACCTTATTTGTAGGGGTGTTCTCATACAGCTCGACGCTGGGGATTTTGTCTCCAATCTGATGCATAAATATTTACAGTTATTTATAAATATGTGATGTGGAAAGCGAATAGGGAACTCTTGACGGGAATTTTTTTATTTTGAGTTACATATATTTGAATTCTTTATTAAATTCCGAATAAATCCCACCAACCTGGGATCACAGACGTCTGTGTTTCTATGCTTTAAAGTAGGTATACCTAGGTAAGTTAGCCTGGCCTATTTATTTATTCACACGGATAACACCATTTTTAAGTTTTTCATTAAATACATTAGATGACAGTACTTATCAATAAGTTAAGTTACTTGAAGCTGGACTAAAGAAAAAACTCTTTTGCTGAGCGTACTGTAGGCCTACGCATTAAACTAAAAACAGATTTTCATGCTTGTCAATGACAATTGCTGACATGAAATTGCATCTGAACAGGAATGAACAGACACCAAATAGATTAGCCTACAGTACATTGATAAAGATGTGATAAAACATAGCCAAGAAAATAAGTTAAAACGCTTAAAAATGTGACGCAAAAATTAAGTTAAGTTACAACCAACTTGAGGTAGGTACCAAAAAGTAAGTTAGGGCTAGATAACTTAATTATATAACTGATTAAATAAGTAGGCATATTTCAATGCATCCAATTAGTTGAGAGAAGAAGCTATACAGCATTACACTGCAAAGAATGAACACTTTTTGATTCTGAGATAAGTTTAGCCTAGGCAGCATTAATGAGCAAAGTCAGACCTAACCTAGAGTTGGCCCTTCCAATTAGCCCATCTCTTACAAATATTTTATCTTAAATTTCAAAAACCTTGGTACACTGTGCCACACATTCTGTAAAATCTTAAACCCTAAAAGTACATTCAAACGTGACATAACCGGAAAACACCGGCACATTGAACTTGACGGCTTAACCTAAATCAATAAACTATGATGTCCTTCACGCGAATTTTGTACCCTTAGGAAAATCTTCCCTAGATTATTATAATGTAAAGCTTACCTTGATAGGCATGTTTAGTCTGTTTGTCGTGTGTAAAGTACGAAGAGCTTCCAAAGACAGTAGTCTACTGACTGCAGCGTCGTTGAGCAGGTTTACTAGTGGCTTTCTCCAAATCGATTGCATGGTTGTCGGCAGACGATAGGCTTACAGGTTTGGTCTACAATGGCCGCTTCCTGACCTTGAAGATGAATTAGCTGCTCTTCAAGGTTACACTTTATCTTTTTGTTATTTGGCAAAATATCAAAAAGTTTCCTAGTGATAAATTACTTTTAGTATTTATCCTTCTATACATTATTATTCATGAGACGTATTTTAGCTGACATTCCTTTTTTGCCAAACAATTAAACAAACAGTTTTTAAAAGCTGTAGCTTTAGCTTCCAGCAGGTGTTTAATATTTTTCCAATTTCAGTAAATTCCTACAAAAAGTTCTTAAGGACCAACAATATCAATTAGGCCTACTTAAAATTTTAACATACCATACTAAGAAATTATAAGTTTTTAGGTCCAATCTTATTATTTTGTATATTGAGCTTTTAATCATGATAAATAATGTTGTTTACCAAAACAAAACTGTTTTCTATCCAAATACAGTACATTTAATGCAAACTTGTTCTCATAATTGTTGTTATTATTGCAATGTGAAATATAGGAAAAATAATTATTCTACATTATTGGTCATCATATGAGCATGTCATATATATCAGTTTTATAACATAATCTTATATGTAACATTTTGAAATTGAAAGTTGTACTTGTAGTTGTAGTTTGTACTTTCAATTGTTTTATATTGTTTATAATTGTTTTGTATTATTTATAATTGTTTTGTATTATTTTAACAACTGTTTTATAACTATTTTGTTATTATTTACAATTTTATGAAAATTTCTTCAATACTATATTCCCTAAACAACATAAGTTCGCTTTTCAAACATTCATCTCAAAGAAGGTGTAAATTGACAATTCTCCTTAATTGTACAAAATAATAGAAATTGCACATTAAATTCTCTCCCACTTTATGCAACATTAGGACTATCCAGCTAAAGAGCACGCTAAAGTAAATTTTTATGATGTAGGCCTACCATAATATTGATAAACACAAAAATATAGTTCTGTTCTTTTTCGAAAAAAAAAAATTTGTTTGTACGTATTACCTTGATTTTTATGTTTATGTGTAGAATAAGTTTACACAAAAACGACTCTTGCAGTAAATAAAATTTTAAAAAAATATGTCTATTTTACATTATAAATATGTCTTTTACATAGTTAATTTTCCTAAGCACATGCCTGAGAGCGATATTTCAAATAAAACCGCAATTAATTTATAATAAATTTACAACAGCGCTCATTACAAAAGAATTTAAAGAATCGTTTGGTGCATTTTGGAGAAAATCAGGTTTTTCGATATTTTATGGAGGTTTTTATGGGAAAAAGTAAAATTAATTTTAATGTGTCAGTTAAGCCATTCAAATTCAATCTTTTAGAATATATAAAAAAAATATTTATACTAAATTTATTCTGCCACTTGCCGGAATACTTTAAGCAGGAATAGAATAACAACAAGAGGGTCTGGAAAAGATACTAAAAAAACTCAAAAGTTTTAAAGTTATAGCCTTCTTGGTGATATTCAGAATTTTAAAACATGAATATCTAATATAAAATTTTTTCAGGTGGTTTGATTTACTACATAGCAGTTTCGAGATCGAAAAAGTTATAAAATAATGGAGAGTGAATGTGAGTTTATTCCAATTGATCTTCACTCAGCCTGTAATCTTGGTGATGTCGACATTGTAGAAGAAATTCTGAAAAGGTAAGTGAAGGTCGGGACAGTCCAGATTTCGGTCCTACCTTTACCTGGGGTAAGGTAAGTAGAGGTACATAATATTAATTTTAATTTTTTTGTAAGTTTGTGTATTGGGATACAAATGAGTTACTACTTTACTGTAATATATTTTGCTTCTGTAGCCTACTTCTTATATTTAATCCATATGTTAATTTACTTTTCAGTTATGAATAAAATAGTTATGCAAGCTAAAAGTGCTTGTTTATTAATTGGCGAGAGGATTAAAAAAAGAAACAAGACTTTATTACCTTGGATTTTTTACTTTTTATTATTTAATTACCTATTTAAATTTTTCATATATTCACTAGTAAACTAAATAATGGAAATTTTACATAACATTGATTCAATAGTAGATTTGAAGAAAGTAAGGGAGAAAATAGTATTCTCTGTCTAAGAGCTTTCGGACTCAACTGATTCAGAACAAACAAGTACACAGTATCATAACACGTAAGTAGATTTACTATGCTACACCAAAATGAGATGGACAATGGGAGAATCGGTTGAGTTGAATTTTTGTCGCGAGCTATAAGAAACACATTTTGAATTCTAAGAAGTGGCTGGACAATGATAGGAAAACCTCATGATGTTTATGAGTGATTATGTAGTATTTGTGTTCTGTATTTTGTCGTTGTTTTCCCAACAATCATTGTACTGTTTTTTTTTTATTCAGAGAAAAGACAGACATTAACAATAAAAACGACGGAGACTGGACTCCCCTGATGTATGCGTGCTGGGGAGGTAATGAGAAATTGGTAACACTCTTGCTGAGACTCAATGCCAGAAAAGACGAGGAAAACCATTTCAAGCAAACCCCCCTCATAGTCGCAGTCATGGGTGGATGTCTCAATATTGTCAAACTCGTCTTTCAGGTGATCTTTTTTATGAGTTCTCTTTAAATGTTGTTAATTTTTTAGTGAACAAAACACACAGTAGAGCATGGATTGTTGAAATATTAGTTATTCAGATGACTGTTGAGTGAAAAATCTAAAACTATTTCTCAACATAATGTTCAAGGTTTTCTGCAAACTAAAAGAGTTTACTATGCATATATTACCAGATTACTTACTGAGCTGTAAGCATTAAGCACGATGGAAGGTAAAACATGGGTGTGATACTCCCGTCATAGGGGTGTGACTAAGTATCGATAGTAGTTTGGACCAAATGGGTTCGATTCAATCGATTAATGGTTGAATGAATATAATGAACACCATATTACCACAATGATACGAAGTGCTGCCATCGGTGTTCGTAGTGTAGTGGATAGAGTACTCTGCTGATGTCCAAGAAGTAACTCTCAGATCGAATCCCACTGGTGACACTAAATTGTTGTCAAAGAGATTTTGCTTAGAATGCGATTACTTCTTAACTGTACATGTTTTGTTAGAATTTGAGGCATTTATAATTTTATTTTATGAACAGAACTATTTTACGATTAGTAAACCTTCATTCGATTATGTCATTATCAGCAAGTTTGGTTAGTCAGGTTAGTTTATGGCAGTTTAATTTTATAATAAAACTAGCTGTACCCGCGGGCTTTGCCCCGTTTAACTTCTTAATTTTCAAGATTTCAAGATGATCTCGTTCGCATGGCTCAATCACGTCCTGGTTGAAGTTCGTTCGCTACGCTCACTCACCTTTTGGTTGCAAATTAGCTGTTGTTATAAATTTAAAAAATAATAGTGCTGCACCTTGTTGGTAATCCTTGTAACTTTAATGCTATTGAACATCTATATATATAGATATATAGCCCGAGGGTACAGCTAGTCATAGAATAGAACCAACTTGTTTAATTGAAACAGCTGTTAAGATTCATTAATTATTTTTAAATATGAAAAATCATAAGGCTAACATGGGAAACTCCAGAGCCACTGGGGCGGAGCCCGAGAGTCCGATCAGAATAAAAACAACTTAGTTTTCCTATTTAATGCCTAAAGAATCAATGTACCAAATTTCAGCCTCCTAGGTAAATGGGAAGTGGGAGAATTAGTGATGAGTGAGTGTGTCAGTGAGTCAGTGTGTCAGTGAGGGCTTTGCCTTTTATAAGTATAGATGCTCTCATTTCGTCCAAAGTAAACCAAAGTAAAAATTGTCTTGTTTTTGCAGAAAGATTTACTTGGTCATGTAGACATCAATGGAAAATCTGCCTTGTTTCATGCTGTTGACTTTGGGTTTTATGACATTTCCAGCTTTCTATTAGATGAAGGAGCAAATGCAAACTTCAGGTAAATTTAAGTGGGGTTAGGGAGTTTTAGAAATACAATGTTTGTAGCCTTTTAAGTTAAACAAAAGTCTAACAATGTTTTGGTCAACTGTTGTAATAATCACATAATGATACGTAACAGTGATTAATGTCAAAGTGTATCTCTACTTGAGTCATAATGGCCATCCATAACTTTATTGCTTCCAGATGCATATCATGAAAGAACATACACAAACATGTGTTGCCTTTACAGTGGTGTATTAATATCAAGATGCATTCTTTTCCAATGTTGGAGATCAAATTATAGCTCAACTGACCCTAAACATTAGAGAATATTTTTTTTTGTGAATGGAAATTGTTTCTTTCTGATTTACAAATTGTTACTCAAACACTCATCTAATATATTATATTGAACTTTTTGATAAACTTTCTATATATCATTTTAACCGCTATTCACACGTTTTTTATAAGGATTATTGTAGGAATCTTCCTTCACTAATTTGCAAAACACTATTTTCATGAAGTTTCAGCATTTGGAATTTGGTTCGGTCTTGATGTGGGAAAACCTAAAACTTGACTAGATTGGTATACAAACTAAAGTTCACGTTCCTCATCCTGACCACAGACATGTGAGATACAGAGGATACATTCAATGGTACACTTAAGTGGTGTCTAGCACCAGTCTCTGGTGTCTAGAGCAAATTTTTCGTCCCCTTCCGCTCTCTTTTTCCCCTCGATTGTCATCACGTACTACAGCGCTTACCCTGTAGGAAGACCCTGTGCGCTAAAACTGCTGTACAAAAATGCTATGTCGCCATCGCCGTTAGGGCTCTTACTTGCTCGGTACGAAGACGTCCCTACCATACCAGAGTTTAAAGCGGACGGTTGTCCCATAAGCTTGTATCCTCATCTGTATCTTGCTTCTCTGTGTCCTGACTGAATGTGATTGTGTTTTTAACTTTTTATAGTTTTTCTGATTTTTTATTTTATTTTTTTTATTTTTTTTTATTTTTCCATTTGATTTCTATAAGCAAATGTCCACAATAATCTCTTAAACAACATAGACTAATCATTAAGAACCAAAAATGTAATTATTATTTAAAAAAATAGGTATTTTAAACATACAGAATATGTATCAAGCTGGGATAATATTTTGTACGGATAAGTATTAAAATCAAGATGCTCAACCAAGGTACTATGTATACATTTCTTGCTTTAAAGAACTTTATCTTGCTTTTGCAGTCTCGCCCCATTGCAAGCCTAGATTATAGATGAGGAGTTTAGTTTATTTATGGATTCCGTTTGATAAGTAAAACATCAACAGAGAGGATGATCAATAGCAGGGACAGACATGCAATCAAATATTTATACATTACAAGAACAGGCAATGGCCAGTGTACATTAGTGTAGTTAACTGACATAGATAACCTTAACCTGTAGTTTCCTTCCCTTTTAATTTTTAAAATTCAGTTCTCTATTCAACTACCAAAAATTTTAAAACCACCACTGCCCCAATAAACAAAAGAGAGAGAGAGAGAGAGAGAGATTCTTTATTTTGCAATCGTCAAGATTGAAAATGGAGTCATGTGAAATACACAGTTTAAACATTTTTGAAGTGATCTTGCTTCACAAAATATTGTTTTTCCAGTCTTTATACTCTTTAACACTATAAAAAGGGCGGAGTAGCAGCCATTTCAGCAACTCCCTCTTGAACCTGCCAGGATCAGAACTTAGGCTTTTCATTTCTTCAGGTAAAGCATTAAAGAGTCTTGCGCCGGCGTAAGTTGGTTTCCGCTGAAATCTTGTGGAGTGATGAATTGGGAGGTTGAAGTCCTGGGCGTGTCTGGTGTTATGGGTATGGACATCTACATTCCGTTGTAGACTCATAGAGGTGGCAGTGCAGATGACCTCCAAAATATACAGATTTACAACGGTTAAAATTTCCAGGTCTCTAAAGGCACCTCTGCAGTTCTCCCTCCCATCAATTCCAGCAAGCAGTCGAATAGCCTTTCCTTGTATTACAAGAACACGCTGTAGGTTGTTGTGTGACGTGGCGCCCCAGAGTACGATTCCATATCGTAGATGGCTCTCGAATATAGAACTGTAGGTGGTCTTGGCTGCATCAAAGTTGCTGATTCTTTTTACTCTTCGAAGAGCAAAAATAGCACTATTTAGCTTGTTACATAATCCGTCCAGGTGATCTCTCCATGTCAGTGTGTTGTCTATTATTACCCCTAAATGTTTGGTAGCTTCAACACAATCAAGATTGGGGAAGGCCGACACCTCATCCTGCAATGTTCCCACATTGAGCTGTTGTGTCTTTGATTTGTTGAAAACCAGGTCGTTCATGTTGCAAAACTCAATAGCCATGTTTAGAGCAATAAAGGATTTGATTTCTAATGCTTCTTTGTCTTTGTCGGATGTGATGATGACCGTGTCGTCAGCATACATGATCGAGTTGCAGAAGGGCCTAATGTATGCAGGGAAGTCAGCTGTAAATAGGACAAATAACACAGGACCCAAGACCGATCCCTGAGGTACGCCTCTGTTCACCGGAAGAAAGTTAGATCTCACGGTAGTACTTTTACCGCTTTTAGTCTGTCTAATCTTCACCAATTGACTTCTTCCACTCAGGTAACTGCGAAACCAAGCAAGCGAAGTATCTTCAAAGCCAAGAGCTGAAAGCTTGGCAAGTATCAGGGAATGGCTGAACACACTCATCGACACACTCATCGACCAGTAAATTTACACTGAATCCTCCAAGATGCATAGAAAAATTATTCCTTCGGATATCATATGCAGGGAGCTGGCCTGCTGTTTGGTCATCAACGTTTTTAGGCCGGGAGAGCTTCAGTACCTTAACAAGAAGCTTAAGTACAGGGAGATTTTGTCTTCAAAAGAGTCGCTCCCAACACAGGCTTCTCTTATGAAAAGGCTTGAGGTTGGAAAAAAGATATTTCCCTATTTTTGACTCCACATGGTTGTTGTTATAGATAGGCTTCTGCGGTCAAAGTATACTGTCCTTGGTTTTTTTCACTATACTTTCAACTCAAGAAACAGTTCAATCATGTAATCATCTTTGGAAGACCAAGATTCAAAACCTATATAATATGTTAACAGCCTAATAACATTTGATATTCTATTTGATTTACAAAGGACTGAATTAAAACTGTCAAATAATGTTTAGCCATGAAGGGATGACGGTCCTAATGTTAGCTGCATCCAACGGACATCGAGCTTTGGTTGATCTATTGTTGCAACATGGTGCCAACCTTCACACTAGAAACATGCAAGGATTTACAGCTCAGCAGTTGGCAGAAATGAACCAACACCAGGATATAGCTGACATGTTAGATCCTGCCAACCATGGTAAATAAATAGCCTTGCACGTCATATATTGAAATATATTGAATTTGGATTAGATTTGTTGCTTTAATTAGTGATTTGAGAAAAAAAGGTCAACTTTTGCGTTTTAGTAAATCTTAAATACAAGGAATAAACTATTACCTTAAGTCACACGCACACCATAGGTCACGAGTTTTTTTTTTTTTGCCCCAGAGACCATAAACACTACTCATTACCAATTTGAATTTGTGTTTATATATATATATACAGGGTGTTCATTTGAAAACTTTCCATATCTGTTGTGTGCAAAGGTAAGGCTTTTAACACTTGTTTGTTCTCATTTCCCCCTAATTTGGACATGCCAAATCCAATAAAATTATTTTCAATTTTGAAAAATGCCCCAAAAGGGCCCAATTTGGGGGGTAGGGGTGCTTTTTGAGAAATTTTCAAATGTAAACATGGGTTGTGTGATACATCAATTTAAAGGTCTAATCACCCCGATCATTTTGGTGCAAAAAAAGTTTAATTATCTTTAACCGTATTTACAGGGTGGGTCAAAACGTTTTAAAAAAGGACTTTGAAGTTAAGAACCGTATTACCCTAACTACTGAACGGAACAGCGCCAAATTTCTTTCCAAGCTTATTCTTGAGCTACTCTTTAAGATAACTTGTAGTAAGGGCATTTTCCAAGTTATTTTCTAATTTTAAAAAAATCTCAAATTTTAAGAATAAAAGAATGCTGAAAACTCAAAATTCTTAAATAGCAAGGTATAACAAATTTCATACCACGTGAAAGGTCCTTTTTTAACAAACATTTTACGTATTTAAGTTTTCTTTCTATCTCTTACCGTTTAAAAATTGCAGTAGAAAAACATAATTTTCTGTGGTAAAATTGTAACTAGTTTTCTAATAAAACAGCCAAAATTCGTCTCTAGACACATTAAATGGTGCAATAACTGAAGGAAACAATTCATAATTATTTTTAGGCAGATAGGCAAACAAGTCATTACGTTTTACTTTGTGAGAAACAAGTTTTATAGCTGATGAGAAAAACCCAAGCGTGGGCCGCTTTCTTTAGTACCATTGACTAGTCAATGGTAGTACTAATTTCAAAAGTACCATTTCCTGTAGTACCTAATCAAATATGGTGTAAACTTAAAAGAATATACTTTATTTTACTTATTGGTCATAACAAAAGTGTTCCAGGATAACTGCAAAGTGTTTAACAATAGATATCCAGGTATAACCTTGAGTCATATGGCTGTAATGATTTAGTTAGGAAGTTTTCTGAAACTGGCTCAGTTACCAATGAGAAAAGAACAGGATGAAGGGTCCAAGATGAATTCTGACACACGTAAAAATAGTCGATCAATTTGTTATGAATCCTACTACATCGTTGAACAAATTGCAATGTGTTTTATTAGAAAACTAGTTATAATTTTACCATGGAAAATTATGTTTTTCCACTGCAATTTTTAAACGGTAAGAGATAGAAAGAATACTTAAATATGTAAAATGTTTGTTAAAAAAGGACCTTTCACGTGGTATGAAATTTGTTATACCTTGCTATTTAAAAATTTTGAGTTTTCAGCTTTCTTTTATTCTTAAAATTTGAGATTTTTTAAAAATTAGAAAATAACTTGGAAAATGCCCTTACTACAAGTTATCTTAAAGAGTAGCTCAAGAATAAGCTTGGAAAGAAATTTGGCGCTGTTCCGTTCAGTAGTTAGGGTAATACGGTACTTAACTTCAAAGTCCTTTTTTAAAACGTTTTGGCCCACCCTGTAAATACGGTTAAAGATAATTAAACTTTTTTTGCACCAAAATGATCGGGGTGATTAGACCTTTAAATTGATGTATCACACAACCCATGTTTACATTTGAAAATTTCTCAAAAAGCACCCCTACCCCCCAAATTGGGCCCTTTTGGGGCATTTTTCAAAATTGAAAATAATTTTATTGAATTTGGCATGTCCAAATTAGGGGGAAATGAGAACAAACAAGTGTTAAAAGCCTTACCTTTGCACACAACAGATATGGAAAGTTTTCAAATGAACACCCTGTATATACATATATATATATATATATATATATATCTCCGTAACATGTAATAAATCAAGTAATTTTGGTCGGATTTTGATGAAATAAAAAAAAAAATATTTTTTATCTTTATCTTGAATTCTCATTATTATAACCATCGAGTAGAACCGTAGAACTTAAAAAAAATGTGTATACTAAAGCAGTTTTGTAAAAATTAGAGGTTACGGAGAAAATAATAAAAAAACTGGGCATTTTAAATTCTTGTGTTATTCTTATGTGTAAAAAGAAAACTGTTATATGTAGTTTGCATGTTTACGGATGGATTTTGATCAAATTTGGCAGATTTATTTATTCTCTCCTATCACTATTAACATTTTATCAAAAACTCCTTTTCTTTCTCCATAGCAGCAAACCTAAGTACTTGTGTAGTGTCTCTAATGTCATTTAAATGGGGAATAAATATGACTTGTTTATGGAACTATTTAACTTGAAATCCAATCAAGAAATTGATATTCCCTACGTTTACACTATGTACTCTAATCGTCCAAGTACCTATTGTTTTTATGTGATTCCAGTTTTGCCTGATTTGGAGAGTCTATTGGAATCTCTAGACCTACTCAAGTATTGGCCTTTATTTCAAAAGAACCAGGTAGATTTCCAACAATTTTTGCAACTGGACGAGAATGATTTAAAATCTCTGGGTGTAAAGTAAGTTTTGAAGGATTATAGTGTTTTAAATCTATTACTTATTTAATACGCAAGCAGGTTTTTTGTGTCAATTACTCCTCCGAAACTACTGAACCGATTTACATGTTCTTGGTGTCATTGGAAAGAGCGTACCGTGAAGTTGTGAGGAAACTTTCTTTTTAGGGAAATAATTAGAGGGTGAGGCCCTTTAAATTTTTGTATTTCTCCATGAGATTAACATGGGAAACAAATATTGTTATGAAACTCCAGCTGTTGTCAGAAATTAAAAGTGAGAAGAAGGACATATGTTAATTGTAAACAGTCAATAAGTTTGCTAAATTAACGGTTAGTTTGCTACAAACATTTACTTACTTGGTTGAAATGAAATATTTACTATTTGAATTTGGGTTGTCGTAAATATTACAACGGAAAAAACGAGAGAACCTGGATAAATGGTTATACTAAAAATAAAACTGAATTAACACTGTGCTGCATTTCTTAGTAATCATTGAAAGAGCCGATTTGCAAACTATGGAAACATAAAAAAAGTCATAGAACACCACCAAGGAGAAGAAATAGAAATAATGTGTGTTTTTTTCTTTTTTTCTTATATATAATCATTATTACGGACAACCTAATGCGGCTATGAGTAAGGCTATATGTAGAAAACACTAAAAAAATCTGCTTTTGAAAAATGATAAGATATTTACAAAAAATGTTGATTAATCGACCTGTTATGTACATCTTGAGTATTCCATAATCTTTGAGTCGAATCTTTTAAAGTCATCAAAAATTATTACTGTTATTTGTTTTAAAATAACGCCTGTAATACTTAGCAATTGCTCGATTTCGAGCAACAGGGACACTAGAAATACTTAATGTATAATTTATTTGACTTTATCAGGTATTGTGTTCAACTCTTACCTAAATTGGTTCTAATAATTCTATCTGAAATTAAAATCTAACCATTGATTGTTAAAATTGAGAAATTGTTTTTATTCATCTCCTCAACTCAGTTTAGCGTTAGTTTTAACGTTTACTTTTATCGTCACCAGATTTCAGACAGTAACTCATTTTAATGTTAAAAAATTAAACTAGATAACGATGATGTTGAGACGCCAGTAGGTTCAATATACCCTGGACTTTCTGGTGAGTTGGTGGGAGTTGTCAAAAGCTTATCATGTTTCTATTGTTGTTTTAGGCTTTTAGGACCTCGGCGCAAGATGTCTCTGGCGATCGCAGGTTTCAAAAAACGACTTGCACAAGATTGATATTGAAAACTTATAAAGTTCGGTAACCAAGCTATGATATAAAAACCAAAGAAAGCTCTGAGAGCCTCAAGATTTTTGCATTCTAAAAATCATAATGGGTAGAATGTATACCAGGTGCACTGTGTAACTTATTTGAAAAATTTCTGTGGTACGTCTGGTTCAACAAGATAAAAGTTGGTTGCCAAGACTTCATTGCAACCTTAGCTTTTAAGAGAGATGGACATTTGCTTTTTATTATAAATGCTTAGTGTTATTACGTTTTATAATCAATGGTTTTATATTACTTTATTTTATTTTCTAAGCCCAGTTTTGGGGTGTGATTATTCATAGTATTAAGCTTTAAACAATATCATCAGTCTTTCAATAATTGTAAAGATATTTTAAACTCAACTGTGATGTCTTAATGTAGTTAAGTTTTAAGCTGGGTTTTCCTAAGCGTGGAAGCTAAGAGCGGAGTGCAGAAAAGTAAATAAGATTGCGCTTCTAGGAAAATAGTATCATTAAATTACTTAAGACAAGTGGAGTCCACTCCGCCTTCGGCGCCTAGGAAAACCCAGCTACTGTTATGAATTTTGTAATATTTAACAATAAAGAAATTTATGGATAACTTTTCTGTTTATCCAATGAATTGTCCAATATGAATTACACTGAAAACAACCTCTTCCAACCAAAAGTTATTTATAAAAAATGCCAAAAAATATATAAACGGCCAAAAAACAAAAGGCTACAAAACATAAGATATGCAAAAAAGGGTAAATTAACACATAATTGAAGTGAAAAATACAACAAGTTCTATAAAACTAAAACGATTTATTTATAAAGGTATAACAATAAATTTACAAGTCTAAAATCTTACAAAAATATAAGAAATCTACGTAAGGCGACATGATGGCGAAAATGGCAACTAGATAGAATAAATATAATACTAAAATAAATAATCTGACCCCTGATTAACTATATAAAACTTTATACAAAATATCATCTTTACATCTCTTACACTTAAGACAAATGATGAGCACCAAGTAATAATAACAAAATAGTTCTACGGCAAGTATGCACACAATATAATGCTAAATATAAAACTACAATAAAATAGATTCCACACTGAAAGTTGTTTTGTTAATACTAAGAGATTCAAATAAATAAAATAATACTGTTAATTCGCAAAATACTTTATAAAATTATAAAAATAGTTAAAAGATAAAATAGTTATATAGTAAGGCCCATTAAAATACACTTATAATATTGTTAAAAAAGAATATAGAAATGTAATGGAAATACATTACATGCCTTAACATTTGTTCTAAGTCACCGGCAGGACAAAATTATCTGGGTAAGGAAGTAAAAAAGGCACAGTAGGAACAATCAAAGTGTATGTAAGTTAATGTGTTTCAAAGCAGGAGTTTTACTGTTTTGGATGTAATGGCATCCAGTTTGGAGTGGCTGTATTTAAGAGTAGGCTAATTAAATAGTTCTTGGAGTTAAAATTGTTCTTGGGTAATAAACAAATTTAGTGGGGATTAAATTAGTGATGAACCAAAGCTGAAATTCAAAGAAATAATTGAATTTGAGATTCATTTTGCTATATTGAATTCAACCCTCATAATGTGGCAACCCCTGCTACCGTCTCTTAATGAAAACCGAATAGAAATGTACAAAATAATCTAGATATTTTGGGGGTTTGGAGAAAGTTGTTATGTCTGCTTTTTGGAGGAATTTAACTGTCTGCACCGGTGGCATTTATACTAGAGTCTATGTACAGACTCAAAAGCTGTCCAAACCCAAAGGTTTAGTGGATGTGCCAGGAATGAAACTCATGCCGCACTGATGTCCAAGATGCTAAATCACTAGGTTAACAATATTGTGGGTTATAAGGATTTGGATTTGAGATAGGATATTCTGGATTCGACTATCACTAGTAGTAGAGTAAGTATGGACTTGGTAATTATTTAAAGGATTCAAAATAGTTAACAAGTCCAGACTTAAACCACATCTGGATCAAATATGGATTACGCAATGTCAGAGACACCTGAAAGTGCTAAAAAAAAATTGACTGCAGCATAAAATCACAAACATATCAATCAATCACCTGCTTATCACTTAAGACGATCTTCAATAATAAAAAAATCCAAGGAATGTGGTTGCTGCAAGTGAATATTGAATTAACGTTGAAGTCAAATGGGGGAGAACTGTTATATCTAAAAGTCTGGACCTGTTAATTTTTGAATCCTATTTTAAATAATATTACAGCTGATGTCCCTACTTAACAGTAAACCTTTTTCTTAATGTAAAAAATATGGTGGGATATAATTCATTTGAAAAACAGGGACTATTCCCCCCCTACACGAGAGCTGTAGGCTATACAACCTGTATTTCACCTAGAGAATTTCCTGTACATGTGCTTTAGCTATTCATCTTTTTATAAAAATGACTTAACTTTCTGCAGGCAAGATTGAGTGAATCTATACAAGTAAGACAAGGGATGCACTAACTATCTTTGGAACACTGACCGTGGTTGGATTGTGTTCTGTAACTATACATTTGTACTTGTTCTAAGGCTAAGTCTCGTAGGAACCCGTGTTACTGTCTTCTGGCATTAGGTCCTTCACCCAGCTTACGCCACACCACCTGCGATAAACATCAACTGTTAAAAGACTCAAAACACTGAAAATTATAGAATCAATCTTGTGCCACAGCCTGGAATATGTTGATTCATTTTGATACTGATTTTCATTTTTCTACTTCAGTTAAATGGCCATACTCCCTAAACCTGCCTTAAGGGCTGACACCAGATATTAATCGGCAGTACGTCCAGCAGTATTATGAGAATGAATGAGAATGAGAATGAGATTTGTATTTGCCAGTTAATATTCCATACAAATACATTGGCACGTCAAAACACATTTGATTTAACTTCATATAAGTCTCCAAGTGAACAAAACCCAAATTCCAGCCTATTCTATTACTTCATAACTCTACAATAATCCTATTTCCTAACCAGGCATCGTGGCTTGGCCGGATATATCATGGAATGTAGGCTACTGACGCTGCAGCAACTGTACAATAGTCCTATTTCCTAACCAGATGTTGTGGCTTATATATATCATGGAATGTGCTGATGCTGCAGCAACTGTACAATAGTCCTATTTGCTAACCAGGCATCGTGGCTTGGCCGGATATATCATGGAATGTAGGCTACTGACGCTGCAGCAACTGTACAATAGTCCTATTTGCTAACCAGGCATCGTGGCTTGGCCGGATATATCATGGAATGTAGGCTACTGACGCTGCAGCAACTGTACAATAGTCCTATTTGCTAACCAGGCATCGTGGCTTGGCCGGATATATCATGGAATGTAGGCTACTGACGCTGCAGCAACTGTACAATAGTCCTATTTGCTAACCAGGCATCGTGGCTTGGCCGGATATATCATGGAATGTAGGCTACTGACGCTGCAGCAACTGTACAATAGTCCTATTTGCTAACCAGGCATCGTGGCTTGGCCGGATATATCATGGAATGTAGGCTACTGACGCTGCAGCAACTGTACAATAGTCCTATTTGCTAACCAGGCATCGTGGCTTGGCCGGATATATCATGGAATGTAGGCTACTGACGCTGCAGCAACTGTACAATAGTCCTATTTCCTAACCAGACGTCGTGGCTTGGCCGGATATATCATGGAATGTACTGACGCTGCAGCAACTCTACAATAATCCTATTTCCTAACCAGACGTTGTGGCTTATATATATCATGGAATGTGCTGCCGCTACAGTACACGTGATGAACAATAGCGTTGATATCGTCTTGGTTCATTCTTATCTTCATCTTATGTTTAAATGGCTGCATGGGTAAGTTAAAGAATTGGTTCATGAACCGGAGAAATTAGGAAATGAAGTAGTTTACAATCGTGACCAAAAAGTGTTCCAACTATTACTTACATTACACATCTCTCTCAAAAGCGCCTTCTCCCCATCATCCATGTCCTGCGTAGACAGGTCTGTGTCCGAGTGATCCAACTGTTCTCTGACTTCCAACACTTGCAGGGCTTGTACCACAGCTTCGCACTGTCACACATTAAGTACAGATAACAGTTGATACCACTTTTCAACTTACCAGTTGAATAACATTTAAACCTAACCTAAAACTAACTCATACAATACAGTGGGGTTTCCATTATCCAACCTAAACCAGCTGCAGAAAGATAGGATAACCAAAAAGCAATTAAAAAATTTTAAACATGAAATAATTAGAACTTAATAAAGTTTCTTTTTTTTAAACGTCTTCAATTTTACCTTAGGCTATATTGAATTGTATAGTTTTATTTTTCATTTTGAACCCATTATCACAACAAAAAAGGCAGAATAGGACCACTTCATACAGTAAGGATGCAACATAAAACAGCAAGTGGGTAGCTTTTAAGAATTTTGATAGAACAACAAGTTTACATGGAAGGAAAAGAGCCCATTCTGAAATAGAGAACAAAAAACCATACACAATAGGCATACGCAAATTAGAATATTCCACTGTCACTAACGGAATTTTTAATCAAGGAAGGTTTTAGTTTGAAGGGGAGATGTTTTCAGGTCTATTTTTTTAGTGTATTGTAATGTTTTTTGTTTCTTTTGCCAGGGTGAATTCTATCCTGTTCAGATTAAAGGGACCGCAGGTCAGGCAAGGCCATAGCACACACAGAAGACACATATTTGGCCCCCTGAGGGACTTTGTCAGGTGCAGACAATGAGCTTGACTAAGTCCCCAGTAGACATAACATTGTGCATTTTCTGTATCTTATATGTGTGCTACGACCTAGACTTTTTATGAGGTAAGCTAGCCATTCCTTTATTCTGAAAATCACTATCCTGGGCTGGATTCTTTTTGTTTTAACAAAACTTCCCCACTAAGGCCGGTAATCCTAACAATAACCTTTTAAACTACGTGGGTAGATAACATTATTCTCGTCTGCATTCTCATTTCTTTACCAAGCACACATAAAGCAACTAGATAAGTAAATTGAAAAAAAAACCTAATTTTACTTCTACAAATTAAGCTGTTTTAACAGAATTTAATTTGACAGCTATAAATTTTATATAGATGCCAAAGTTTATCAGCTGTGATTGCAGCAACCACTTACATTATCAGTGGGTGGAGGTTCCCAAGGAGTTACAGCCGAGACGGGAGTTTGGCCAACCTTTTGCTGTAAAACTCTCTTTTCCTCCTCCAATATCTTTATCCTGGCCTCTAGTCTCTGCACGTATTGGACCAGCTCCTCTGCAAAACAGGACACATTTTTATTGTGATTTCATTATTCAAGACACTTGATGTGCTAAAACAAAATCTTATACAATTATCCACTAAATTCTCTTCTTAGGAACCCTTTGGTGCGATTTAGCATAGTCGGATGGTCACCTGCAACTATTGACTTTTGGATACTGAAATAGACCTCCCATCTATATGGCTGTGAGCAATTATTTATTCAAAAATGAATATTGTCGAATGAGCCAGTTTGTTTTACTATCACAACTCTATTTTCTCTCTTAGACTCTGTCACTATAATTTATGTTACACAAAAGATACTGTAGTTAATAATAAGATGTATTTTCAGTTTGACTTCGTTAAAAGTTGTTCTACAGAAATCATTAATTTACATCAGCACATTCTGTCAGATGCTAAACTGCACTCTGTTTATATATATTCTGAAATTGGCCATAACTTAAACACAGGAGTGGAATGTCAAGTTTTATCCATCGTCCAAGATAGTAGATTTGTGGCTGTGTCTATGGTCTTGTGTCACTTACCGTAAGAGCGTGTGTGGTTGTGAGCGGCAGGCACAGGAGGACGGTGGAAGGCGGGCGAGTGTGACGTGTGAGGTTCATCAGCATTAGTGGAGCTGCTACTGCCATCTCCGTCGTCTCTACGCAGCCCGGCGCCGCATGCTCGACACGACCCTGACCTCTCCTCATCCAGGTACAAACACAGCTCCTGTAAACAGAACATTGTTTTGTTAAATACTTGTTTGTTTGTTTTTTTTAGGAAGGACCATTTTTGTTTTAATACTGCTACACTTAAAACTATTAACTACACTTAAAATATTATACTTAAAACATACTACTACTATGTTTTTCAGGATCAAATGTTATAATTATCTACAAATACTCTTAAGGATTAGGTTATTTTAGGTTAGTTTGGGTTGGGTTAGGTTAGGTTAGCGAACTTAAAACTTAAAGTTGTGTAATAGTTAGATGTAATGAAATGAAATGAAATGAAATGAAATGAAATGCTTTATTGTCGTTAAAACTGAGTACAAAGTTCATGACAATCGTCAAAAGAAAAAGAAAACAATCAAGAAAACAATCAAGATGGCAACTAAAACTAAAACTCTAAACCAAAGTACTCTTCATGTTTATACAGGCAAGCCTGGGTTAGAGTAGTTTTTAAAACATGTTTAAATTTTGAAACACACAGGTTTTTGATGGATGCAGGCAAGAAATTGTACATTTTAACACCTTGGTACTCAAAACTATTTTGAGTGGCTGTATACTTATGCCTTAGTGTAGACAGATTATCTTTAGATCTAGTACAATAGTTGTGAACATCAGATATCTTTTCAAAGTGAGAAATGTTTTCAAGTTTCATGTTTTGTAAGTTAGTGAATTAACAGAAAACGTCCAACATAGGCATTTTTAAAGATTTTGTATTTCAACCGATAATATGGGAGATGCTGTTAATTGTTAACAATACCAAAAACCTAATATTTTGTCATGCAGGCAGGGTCAACCCTGGTGAAGGTGCCAAAGAACATTTTACTTACTTCTGTACCTGTATATGCTTCTTACAAATTGGTATTTTGACTTAATAGATTTGGATTTTGAATGTTGTTTGGTAAAAATAAATATCTTTTACAAACCACAAAAAAGTAAAAGGTTAATAGTTATTTGTTTAGTTTAGGGTATACAAACTAATTTTGAATCAAACTTTTTTCATCATTTGGCTCACTTTTAACACATTATTTCTCTGGCCTGGGGAAACGCCAACTTCATCTGAAAACCGCAAAACATGCTGAAAATCTATTTTTGAAAAGTATGTATTTATTCTTATAATTTTTCTTATTATTTGACCCATGTTGAACATTTTTTACTTCTGACACCGTTTTGACAAATGCCATTTTCATCCTGAGAACTAGGTTTAAAAATCCTCATAAATCACATGGTGATGAAAATTACCGACTTTTGGGTGGACAAAATAAAATTTGTTCCAAAATTATTGTTATTTTTATTCAAATATCTTAAACCAACTACTTACTTTAAGCCAACCTAACCCTATTCAACCTAACCTAGGCCTAGGTTAACATTTTTGTTCAGATAAATTAGGTAATTTTGCATACCTACTTAGGTTAGTTTATGTTAGGTTTATGTCATTATTATTAAAATTGATACTTACCACGTTAACAAAGTAGCCTAATGGGATTCCAATAAAACATTTTTTGCGATTTTGAGCTGCATTTTCAGGGTGAAATAGGCTTTTTCCAACAAAAAAAAGCCAGAGTAAAATAGTCCCCTTAGAGACAAAATTTTTCCGTGTGTTGCATGGTCTACCTGTATTTCTCCTAAGATAAACTAGCTGCTATCCCCCTTTATTCTACAATTAAAATCCTAGAGCCTTCCTTGAAAAACCTATGAACAGTTTTTGAAGTTAATTCAATAAGATTTGTGAGACTATTCTTAACAATTTCAATACATTTTACTTTTGATTACGAATATTACGATACTATCTCTTAGGACCGGAACAGATTCCAGGGCCCGAAAGATCGTAAACTTATTTTTGATGTGATAGAAAGTTTCTGCAAAAGTCCCTCAAAAGAACGTAAAAGTTCAATTTCTCACCTTTAGTTCCAGATTGTCCTTGATGAGCTCGTGCTGTTTGGTGTCCAGTTCTCTCAGTTTCGTCTGGTATGCTGACACCTCTTGACGCATGACGGATGCTGTGTACCGGCCGAACCTCTGCCACTCTCTCGCCAGCTTGCGGCCCTTCTGTCTGTCGTCGTCGAGGAAGCAACACAGGTCGCGCAGCTCCTGATTGTCATCACTGAGTCGTTGGTTCGCCTCCTTCATTTGTCTTAACTCTGCCGCCATCCGTCGTGTCTGTTCTGCTGCTAGCCGCGCAGCCTCTGCGTCCGGTTTGCGCACAAACTTGAGCATCTCTGTAGGCTGAGTGGTGGGTGGAGGAGCGGGTGGAGGGAGATACTGAGGTGGGCGGGGCTTGTTGCTGTCTGAAGGCTGGTGCCTGAACATGGGGAAATTTTATAACCACAAATGCTAGTGAATAGCTATGAGCAATATCTTACATGTATAGGCTAATTGTTACATTTAAGATTTAATAAATTATTTTTAACTGTCTGAGGATTGCCTTTTTTGCAGAATAAACCGAACAGTTTAAACAAAAATATAACATTCCAGTGTTTCCATAATAATAGGCTAGGCCTAATAGAAAGAAAATAATGTCAAGGATACGTTCACAAATATCAAGGCTTTACTTTAAATGTGAATTTAGACTAAGACTTGAGTCTCAATAATTGAAAAGGAAAAAATTATAGTAGCCTAATTACAACAGTAGGCCTACAACATGCGTATAAATATGAACATCTTACATATTTTCTCTTCTGACAAGGACTGCAGCTTCAGATAGAGGATCGCAATAAATATGTTTTTGTCAATTTTAATGCAAGATGGTTAATGTTTGTTTTTTTCCACTTCCACGTAAATGTAAGCATTGACATTATCTTACTTAATCTTACCTACTTATCTTAATAGTCATGAAAATTTAAATTGTATATTAAGTACGGTATATTAATAAACCAATGTTATATAAACATCCTCTTTTCATTGTTTATAGTAGAGATGTGTGTTGATACCAAAATGTATCTTGATTCTTAGTAGCCTATTTACTTAGGTTTGCTGAGACAGAGAGAATAGTAATGTGTGTATAGTGAGATGTTAGGCTCAATATAAGGCCGGCCACACACAGAACCAGGCGGGTCGGGGCGCGACAGGGCACGACGAGACGCCTGACTTAAGCCCTGTCTTGTTGCTGTCACACACAGAATGAGGCAGGGCACGTCAAGTAAAAAGTTTAGCCCCCATAAACCTGAAAATTAATATAGGATTTTTTATTCCTGAGCCTTGAGCCGATTTAGCCAACTTTTAAATTTGACTTTATACTTGGGAGCAGAATAGAAAACAAAATTCAAAGTCATACCTCCAGAGGAGTGGTTTTTGAACCCTTAAGATATGAACGATGGCCCTCTCTTTCCTCAGTTATCAATACCAAGATAAATTATTAGTTATTCAACCACTGTAGTAATATAATCACTGTATAGTCTTATCAAAGGGTGTAATCTTTGGTCGTATAAATTGTTACAGTCTTGTATGTAAATTGTATCAGTTGTAAAATAATCCTTATCAAAATTAGCCCGTAAGGGAATAAATCACATGACCGCGCATGCGCAGAAAGTTCTGCCCGGCAGCGACTTGCCTCGGGGCATAATTTTTGAGACCTTCGCATTTTGCCCTGAGGGCGCCCGGGGGCGTCTTTTCGACGTGCCCTGCCTCGCTCGGTCCTGTGTGTGGAGCTCCATAAGCGCCCGTGCAATTCCCGTCGCACAAGACGCCCCGGGGCAAAATGCCCTGTCGCGCCCCGCCTTGCCTGGTTCTGTGTGTGGCCGGCCTAAAATTAATAAATTTGCCAAGTTTTGATCAAAATAAATACATAAACAAGCAAACTACACCAGCTGAATTATTCTCCATAGGAATAACTTGGGAATTTTAAATTTACAATTTTACAATTTTCTCCATGGCATAATACTTGCATACAAAAACACTCCATACCGGTAATACTAAATGATTTATTTTATTCTCTTTATTAAGCTCTAACTTACAAAATGGTTAAAAGAGAAATTACAAAATTCTATATTTTGAGGGTAAAAAATGAAAAATCCAATTTTTACCCCATAAACCCCCATTTCTATAGGTCAACAGTGGTAAAGCAGATGAAAAGTCGTCTTCTTCATGGTCCCGGGTCCAGGTCTTACCATGAGACCTACCCTATGTGGAATTTACTAAAAGAAAATGAACTTAATGTATAATTTTTATTATAGCCATACCGGTAAGTCATATGAAAAAAATTGTGTGTTCATATGATAGAAGAACAGTCGTAAAATCACAGAATAGAGTAGAATACAAGTTAGCATGAACCTCGTCGCATCTATTATCTGTTACCTTAGGTTTTTTATACATCTAAAGACTTTGTCCAAAATAAAAATCCATTTTCAATTGAGAAAAATGGAATACTTTAATAACTAACAACTTGTAAACAACAACACGTGACATGGCAACCATAAAACAAAATTTTCTCAAGACATCTGGAGACAGACAAACAAGTAGGTAGCCTAAGGATATAGAGAAACCTCAGGAGAAATAGGCCTAAATAAAAGCCAGTTTCCTTTTGTTTAGGCTGTGGTTTCCTAGACGCGTAATTTTTTTTTTTTTTTTTTTTTTTTTTTATCCTAGGACGCTAGGCACGAGCCTGGAATTGTTTTTCACATTACTTCAGGCTAGACCTAGGGGTTGCGGCATTATCACTTAGATAAAATCCATTGGTGACTTGGCGGGGATCGAACCCGGGACCTCAGGGACTGGAGTCCCGTGCTCTAACCACTACGCCAGCTCGCTCCCCCCCTAGACGCGTAATAGAGGCTCTGAATATGCGCATTTATTCTTAAGACGCAGCACACTATTGTCTTAAGGAGTTTTGCATAAGCGGTTTCCAAGGCAGTGTATCAAGTGTGCGCGCATCAAATACGTGCGCACCACTAGCTCTGTCTTATTTGACTGACTGCTTTTTAGAGCAGTCGAACCTGAGTTACGCTGCATAACAGACATGTCTTGTGCATTGGAGTCGGAAGTATTATACTGTATTATATTATAAATCGGTGTGTATAAAGTATCCATTATGGAAGAGTATTTTCAAACTGTTTAAAAAGTACTTATGTGTAATGTACAATCTCAACGTAAGATACTACCTTTTTATATAAATAAAAATTTTTATCGAAAATATATTGAATTATTATTATTCTTGAGTCAAATCCAAGTAAAACCAATTAGTTAATGGGTGCTGGATTTTACTAAACGTTAAGAACTTTAACAAGTATTTTTGGACTTAACTTATTAACTGCTATGAGTTTCATTCCAGGAGACATCAGATTGTTCAACCGGTTTGTTGGGTCCACAAAACAGTCGTTCTTTATTAAGTTAGTAAGAAAGGACAATTGTTCTCTAGTAAATCGGTACTCTTTAAACTTCACTTCACTGTCTACTAGATGTTTAGTCACTAATAAATTAGTACTGTAAGTTATAAGCACCTTAACTATCCCTTCTCTTGAACATCTCACTGCACTGCTTACGCTTCTTAGAAGCTTGTGATACGAAAATATCCATGTTATTATCTAAATCATCGAATAAAATTAGAAAACCCGCTATTAATCTCTATTGTGAACTCATATTACGCACCAACCGTGTGTATTGTACACAGTCTAGGAAACAACTGACTGTATACATTTTGAGACATAGATAAAAGCCGCAGCGCATGTATTACGCGTCTAGGAAACCATAGCCTTACTGGGATCCAGTCCAAATCGGAGCACAATTGACTGAATAAAAAAAAAAAACTTAATATGTTCCTAATCGAATGTTACAATCCGATGCATCGACACTTGACTCCCCAGAATGGGTTGTACCGTCAATGAGTCAACATTTAACGCCTAGAGTTAAACTATAAATTGTAAGACCAGTAACTTAAATCTTTCAATTAGCTTAAGATGAATATACGTTACTAACCTATCAATTTCAGCAACTGTTTGAAACTGTTTGCCTGAGTCGCCTATAGCTACAGCAGCAGACTGGGGCTGGGGTGGGGGTTGGTAGCGTGGAGGCAAGACACCAACTTCTAGAGGTGGAGCCTTCTTGGCAGTTGAAACATTGATTGACGGCTTTTTAATATTGCTGGACATGTCGTCAGTTTTAACCCTCTCAAATCACGGGACTTTTGAGTAGATGGCAGGTCGTGCATTTCTTGAAGTAAGCTTTGTAGTTACAATCGGCTCCCATAAATCACCATAAATTGTCTGTCACAAAATTGTATTGTTAAACAAAGATGAAAACTAAAAATAGGTTTTACCTTTTGTCAACAGCTCAATCAGTTGTTAACTTAACTTAACTTGTGCTATGGCCATTTTGGCATTAACGCAAGTTATAACTTCTGATTAAGCTGTTGATGACAGGTAACTTAAAACCTACTTTTAGTTACAGCATATCACAGCTCAGGGGCTAAAACATGGATTTTAATAAAGATAAAATTCACTTCACCACAGTTTAGACCTAAAAATCTGCATAGGGCCTAACGAGGACTGGATGAGTTTGACAAATGCCAGGTTGAAAGGAAAATTTGTATGTGGTGACTGCACATTTAATTTAGGCCTGACTTAAGTTAGCCTACTTAAGTATTTAATTATCTAGGGTTGAAATTGTGATTTATGTTAAATTAAGTTATGTCTCAAGAATTTATGTTAGTATCCTAATTTAGGACAGGTAATATAAAATAAGTAGCCTATGTTAATTGTGTTTTGTAGCATAAATATCAACCAAAGCAACTAACTTAGGCATACAACAGTTGAGAAATTATGCATAGCCTACACCCAAAGTGCAAGAGAAAATAATAAGTTAGGGTATAGATAGTGTAGTACCTTATCTATATTGTAACCTCCCTAGACTTGTTTCCACACCATATTTTAAGCCTAGGAGGACCTTTTTTAACCTAGGCCTAGGCCATGCCTATTATAGCTTATTTATCCTAGGCCTGGTTAAATAATTAATGATTTTTATGCCTTAGATTTGGCCTAAAATATGTTTATTACCACAATGAAGGTCAGAGTGGAAAGTAGCCTATCTATGCTGCTGAAACCATATTTTAGTCCCGTTACTGTAAACTAGCCTATTAGGCTCAAACTTGATATTTCGATAAGAATTGAACTTAATTAGTTTTATTTAATTACTCATGCAAAGAACACATTATTACATTAAATAAAACACTAATATGATCGAAAAATTCCTTACCATTATAATGTGATTAATAAATAAACAAACATCACAAAATTGGGTCTTCGTCCTACTTCTGCTAGGTTGCTGAGTTGACTAACACATTTACAGGAAGACCAACCTAAACATTCAAAACAAAATAATTTGCATCTTAAATAGTATATATGTATTACTATGTAAAACAAATCTTACTTTAACAAAAAATTTATTTTTGCAATACTTAATTCTGTTATATTATTCATACACCAAAAATAATGATAGTGTCCAAAAGTATATCATTCATATAAGTGTTTACATTAATGCATTAATCCATTATTCCCACACTCCAAACTGTCACGGCCACATTTACTACTTCCTTCACCACTCCAGAAATCAGAATCAGAAATATTTATGGTTAGGGTTCACTTACTCTACGAATCATTGACACAATGAGCCTCCAAATATGTAATTCTTAAAACACATGGCTCACTTACTCTACAAATCATAGTCTATACGAGCTTCGTAAATAATATTGAAGGTTCACTTGCACTACAGGCTCGTATACTATACGAGCCGATCAAAAATATCAAATAAATGAAGAGGGTTCACTTACTCTACAGATCATAGTGCCTATGAGCCAAGCGTATGAATTCTTGAATAATTCAGGAATAAGCTCGTATAGTATACGAGCCAAAATACTGAATTTAAATAAATTACAGGAGTAGGCTCGTATACTATACGAGCCTATTTCATGATAACTATTACACAAATAGAAGACGGCTCACTTACTCTACAGTTCATTGGCACAATGATCTGTAGAGTAAGTGAACCCTTTACAAATATTAGAAGGCTCACTTACTCTACGGTTCATTTAGCTACTCGTCGCGCGGTTTGCAGCGCATCGTTGCAGGTGTGTATGGTAAACCAATACCGCAGTTCTGCCGTTCTGCCTTACTTCTGCCGTTTACTAGTCTTGCTGCGTGAAAGAGAGCTTGTTATGTTAATGCATTGTTGAATTTTTAACTTGTGAACTCGTTGCTAGAAATCAAGCAATTATCAAGTACCGGTATTACAGGAGCTATTTTAGGAGTTATTACAGACTTAATTTTCAATTAATTAAAAAGACTCAAGTAAAAGCTTATGCAACTAATGGAATTACTTACTGTGTTATGAACATTTCTATATAATTAAAGTTGTAAATATTTTAAAATTGTTTAGAAGATTGTCTTTTTAGTGTTTTCTACAAACGTGTCTCAACTTTGTAACGTTATTTCCAAGATCAATTATCTTCTATTTAGTGGAATTGGCCTTAAGAGGAGACCCAAAATAAAAATTCATCATTGTTACAAAAGTCATGGTTTATTTAAAATAAAACAGTTTCTTCTAAACACTTTCAAAACCAAACCCAAAATCAAACTGAAATTTATTTACTTCCATTAGTTTTCTTTAAATATAAAATACCCCCGCCGCAGCAAACCTGCCGTCTAAGCGAATTTCCATTTGGCTGAATTGATTTTCAATTGATCTATTTAAATAACATTAGGTTTAACGAGTACCTAGGTTTGCTGCTACAAGGAAACTAATAAAGTGTGCTTTTAGTAAAATATTGATAGCTTACTATAAAATAAATAAATTTGCCAAGTTTGATCAAAATATATCCATAAACAAGCAAACTACAACATTTTACAATATTCTCCATAAGAATAACATGGGAATTTTAAATTTACCATTTTTTTAGTTTTCTCCGTAACCAATAACCGTACAAAAACACTTTGATATACTGAATTGTTTGTTTTTTAAGCTCTTTAAGAAGGTTTAGAGAAAAATTGGGAAATTTTGTGTTTTGAGGGTCAAAAGTGAGAAAAACCAATTTTTACCCCATAAAACCCCCCATAAAACCCTGTTCCCATGGTCCGATCATGCTGGATCGCGAACTCATTCAAGTTTATCCCGCCTTACACCTTCAAACCAAATTTCGGATAAAAATTACTCAAGTTATCGTGTTTACGGACACATATATATATATATATAAATCTATATATATATACATATCTATATATATATACATATATAAAAATTTGAACGAATGGTGTTTTTGGCCTCTGGGGACATCAAAATGAAAAAGTAAATCGGTCCCGGGCCTAAGTCTTACCATGAGACCTACGGTAATAGCTACTTCCCTATAGGGAAATTCGCTAAAATCAACAAATTTAAAACATTCGGCTAATATTTTTTATGGGACATTTTAAAACCATTAATCACTGGTACACACTTGAGCCCTGTGAACAAACAAACCCGTTCCTAGCTTATCTGTCTACAATACAAATACATATTTCTTTAATGTTTCAAACTTCTTTAAATTGAAAAGCTAAACAATTGAATTAAAATCCTTCGAAATTAAATTAGGTTACATTAATTTCTTCCTGAATGAAATAAAATCTACAATTGCTAAACTTTTCTAGAAACTTTAAAAACTTTACTTTAATTAGCATTTATTATTTTTAGATCCAAATTTAACTCTATTAAATAAATTCTAAAAGAATAAAAAGGTGCATTTTATATTTACATCTTTTACTAATTAATTGAAAGAAAAGTTAAATATCTAATAAGAAAACATCTATGGTCTTTCTTGTTATTACAATAATTAGCAGAGAGGGAGGGATAAAAGTGAATGAATTAAAATAACATAAAAAAATAAAATAAACTTACTACTCATTGAGTAGGCTGCAGAAAATTCACCCCAGGTCTGGACACTGTACATCTACACTCTTGAACTAACAACCCCACATGGAAGCAGCTCCCTTATATAAGATATCTCAGTTCTGGAACCTTCTACCCCTACTCTGGCCAGCACATGCACTGGACCAGGTGATAAGGAAGCTTCCAGAGCTTTCTTATCAAGAAGTCTTGCTACTGCAGGCTACTCTTGACTATTGTAAATGTAAAACTTTAATTTCAAATCATTACAACAAAAAATAAAATAAAAATTATTTTCTCAAATTTCTATATGAAACTAAACCATGTTACAACTTAAACACATAGCCGCAATAATGTTAATGTGCATGAGCATTTTCGCCAATGATAATGTACCAATGTCGACCGTACCAATGTCTAAACTTTACTTTCAAATGGATTTGTTGTTAAATTTTTTTATATTTATACATCATACATAATTTAAATGTTTTTACGTGACAAAATAACGAAATATAACAAGCTAGATTACATACAATATAATTTAGGCTTGAGCTAATGGAAAACTGTAGTTTTCGCATACTTGTCTTAACTTACAGATTCAATTACATCCTTTGTTTACCAAACAAGGTATTTACATTTATTGAAAAAATAACACTTAGACAGATCAATAATTGTAAATTACGATGACAACTGCATTTACATAACAATCATTATACAAAGAAGTATGTTTTTGTGACAAAGAGGTCAAATAGAAATTTCTTTTAGAACTATATAATTTATAAAGACCGGCCTTTTACAGTAATATGGTTTACAGTACTTATTAATTGCGCAGTTGTTAAATGCCCTTATAAACATATGAAAATTAAAAATGTAAATTATTAAATCATTTTCTTTACAAACTCATGAACAATACAAAACGTTCGCTGACCCCTCATAGAAATGAAAAGTAAAGATGATCGCAAGATCTCAAGTTCAAGTCACGTTCACATGGGCAAAGACCTGGCTGAGAACAAGTCAGGCATAGATTGAATTTCGATTTTAATGAATAAAGTGTAAAAAAAATGGCCTGATCTGTAGTTTTGCAAAGTGTTTTTAAATTTTTGAAATCTTTATTAGTTTGGGCAGGATTATTCATCAAAGTTAGGTTTTCTCCCATAAGATTAACATGGAGGAATCTAAATATTTAATTGGAAACTTTGTGTCCACTAATTCGAGAGAACGGCTAGGCGTAGAAACTTGGTAGAGGTGTCCAAATAAAGGTTTTGGTCTGTAGATGAGTTATCAAAAGAAAAACTAAGTAAATTCCCTTAGGGCTCTGCCCCAGAAGCCTTTAAAGATCCCTCCACAGATTTGTTTACATTTTGGTCATGTGGATAATACTTTTTAATGAAACAGCTGTTAATTTTTAAACTGTATTTTAAACAACACACATTTATTAGGAGTTATTGAACTGTCCAAAAGAAGTATTTGCAATGTTATTTTCTGTTTGTAATCTATTATATTATTAAAGTGATACAATCAAGTTTTATGTAAACGGTTAAGGTCATTTACCAAATGAAAATATAGGCATATGGCACATCAAAATGAAGCTTAGAGTGTGTAGATTTGCCGAAAAGTATTGAAATGGACGAATTCCCTGAGGGCGCTGCCCCACAGGCTGATTTCCAAAGGGCTACGCCTGGCATGCTTTCAATGTTTAAATGATTTAATTTAATTTAGTTAATGAAACAGCTGGTATGTACAATGAACTGGTGTTTGTTTATTTACTCGAAAAAGACGTTGGTGTTGTGAATGTAGATTGAGGATGGTTAGTGAGGTTGTATACGTTTTGTAAAGTATTGCTCAAAGTTTCATTTTTTAATTTAAGAGTAAGCTACATGTCAAGAGGCTTGACTAAAATTGAAGGATTATGGTTAAACATGTTATTCATGAAGGGTATTGCTAAAGTATGCTAAGGTATGTTGCCATATTCTTAGGGATCTATTAACATCAAAAGTAGGGGTTTGAAAGTAAGTAGGTTTACGCTGTTTGCGCTTTTAAATCAGTTTATATTTTCAAACTAAATCATAGAGTTGCTGCATTTTAAAACACACATCAGCACCACTTTAATAGCTCTCTAGGTCACATTTTCTTCCCGTTGCAAAGCACGGGTATAGCAGCTTGTAGCTATTTACTTTACAAGGGTAGGCCTAGTAAGAGCGTTTTTACATCACGCAGGTGAAGGTTGTGCAACGAGCGGAAGCGAGTTGCATAATTTACCTAAGTGATGTATAAACACGCTAACGTACAAGATTTTACCTGACCCGACAATATACAGGAGGTTACGAACAATATTAATCATTATCCATTTCACTCATCTTCTAACAGTAACGTTCATTTACAAACAAAAGCTAGGTTAGGAAAATTCTTCAAAACATAACAATAA